AGCGTCGCGCCCAAACCTCGGGGATGAGCTTGATGAAATACGTCGTCAAGAGGACATTTAGTGTTGTAGCTGCAGGGGCAAGCTTGTTGGGTCCGGGGTGGGCGGGAGTTGTTGATCCGCTCCGGAGAAAGCAGGGGGCATAAACTGCGTCGCAGAAGCCCTCGAGGAAATGCCAGTCTGTGACATTCCAGTTAGCTATGTAGGATAGCTGTGAGTTGCCTCCACCAGCGGAGTCATGCCTAGCGATACCGGGACATGCGCCGCCACTAGCACTACTAAAGGTGCTTCAATAAGGTGGGCTAACTCTATGGTGCTAGTGCTATATATTCTCCACTGCACTCTACCCGATGGGTCTCGCTGACGAGCCGAAGGCACAGCGGTGTAGTAACAGAAAGCGCGCCGAAGGCGCGGGACCTGTTTTGTTGATCAGCGCGCGCTGAACAACAAAAACAAGATAAGCTAACCAGCTTAATGCGCGCAATAAATGACGGCCCTGAGGACACGGGCCGTTGCGAAACAGTTAGTCTAACAGTTACGCATTGGGCCTTACGCCCAACTAACCCAGCTTACTTACGCAAGCTCGCAGTATACCGTGGGGGCGCGGCAGCTGGTTTAGAAGCGCGCAGTATCATGCTGGCGCGCGCGAGCCTTCAAGGCCCGCCGGCCCAGGAAAGCGTGACAGCGGACATCACCCATGGCATGGCTGTGGGCATGGCTGTACTCGCATTGACGGGACTGTGGCTCCGGATATACAGGGGTCAGGGCAGCATCGTCCGGGGACCCTGGTCGCAGCTGAGGAGGTGGGGGCCTCAGTCACCGTGAGTGGTATTGGCGCGACTGGGGTGTGGTCTGCTCATGTCTGCGGCTGGGGCTGCTGCGTCTGCAGCTAAGCGAATGGAGCCCCTATGGAGTTACGCGGGCACAAGACGCGTATGTGGGCTTGACCACCTGAAGAATTGTCTTACTGTTTCGTGGGTGTGGTTAGAGGTGCTGCAGCCTATGTTGTGATGGGGCTTATGAGAAATGGTACGAGCACGGTGAGTCGAATGAGGTGCGGTTACCGATGGAAAGCTTACAAGGAGCAAACTCCACATTGCAAAAACATTCTTCTTGATGTACCTGGTTTGTGCCTTGGTGGCCAAAAGGCCGGCTTCTTGGCCTGGTTTGCCCGGGATATATTCGGGTAATCGTGGGATGCGTTCGGAAAAGCCTGAGTCGTGTTGCCCAATAAGATAAACACGGCAATACAAGCAACATAAACTCCCTCTTCGCCCTCCTCGCCCTCCTCGCCCTCCTCTCCATGTAGACGCTTTGCTCATCAATCTTGCAAATGTACTTCCCGGTTTCAAGGTTCAACTCCTTATACGTCTCTTCCTGCAGTTCTCGAGTACAAAGTTCTACAATTTGTTAATAGTTCTTTCCTTATTTGTCTTCTTTGCTTGCCGCTTCGCGTTGCCTATATGTCTGGTCGATTTGCGTCACGTGAGCTTTTGTAACCGTCTATGCTCGGCCACTACTTCACACTGCACATCTTCCTGGCTTCTGCCCTTTGCATTTCACCGTATTTCCTCTCTTGTTACTCAACGTCATCGGCCAGGGCCGAAGCGCGTCCTGTTTGCCGGGTTGCGCAAGGAGTGCTTGTGTCTCAGTCCGAGCATGCTCGTCCATTTTTCATCCAACATCTAGGTTCTTGCCCACCATTCAGGTTGCAAGCCAACAAGCACTGGGAAGAAAGCAAAGCGAGGAACTTTAAATGGAGCGAAGAACTAATACGCGAGGGAGCGGAGGTAAAATTCCTGGATGATGCCTAAACAGGCCTGCTGGCCTGCCCGCTGCATGCGCAACTACAATTTTGCCATGATTCCGAATGCGCAACTAGACAACTACGGATCAGATTTCGTTTATTTATGAAGGCATGAATCCAGAGAAGATCGCTCTGCGATACGAGAAAGGTTGCCAAACCTCCCTGATCGACACCATTCAATCCGATCGGAATATTTAAACGACCCTAAAAAGCTTGGCCAGTCCATCCAACTCCTCCGCAGCTTCATTCCACAATCTAAAGCACCTGCTCCGCGCCCAAAGCGATCCCTCGTACGGCAGCGGGTCCTAATTTAGCAATCCATTCGTGTGACGATACAGTGTTGCGATGGTTGTGTGGCACAAAATCCGGTGGGTGAGCAGCAAGGGCCTCAACAGGCAGTTAACATTTCCTTTAAAATGTTGCTCTTGGCCCTGCCCACCCTTGCGCCTCCTCGGTATCCCATACGTACTTTCCTGCCCTCGCCGACCCCGTCAACACTCAACACCCCCGGTGAACTCTTTCCCCGCAGTCCTGTGCGCTTTCCCGTGTACATCCATTTACCCTGCGCCTACGCGTGCTCAACCCCATACTCCACATAAAACCTAAAGCGCCAGGCACACGCACACGCAAGCACGCACACGCAACATTCCATTCCCGCGCCTCACTCCGCATGGCCGCCCGCCTCACCCGCACCACCGTGTCGGGGCATCAAAGGCACATACCCCACATCCATCAACTTAGTCACCCGGATTCCCCCGCCCCACTCCGCGCCCTCTCCAACCCCACCCTCCTCCCCAGGGCCCTGCACAGCCCGGGGGCCATGCGGCTCCAAACCCGCCCACTGCCGTCCCGCGCCCCCGAGTGCCGCCGCGGTGTCGAACGGCGCCTTGTCCACCACCGTTAGCACCTGGATGCCGTAGTGCGGCCCCACGGGTATCACCATGCGGCCCCCGGGGGCTAGTTTGGCAACCAAGTCTTGGGGCAGCTCTTCGGCGGCAGCACCCACGTGGATGGCGTCGAAGGGCGGCTCGGTGGCCAGCAGCCCTGCACGCGGAACGCCGGGGGGTGAGTCTTACACCTAGAGTGAGTCCGGTGGGTCGGTGGGTCGGTGTGGCTGCTGGGAGGATGGTTATAGGATAAAAGGAGGCGGTAGTTTTGCTGAAGGGGAGAAGGGTTCACTCCGCGTGGTCCGCCGGGTTCGGGCTGTTTGGGGGGGCGGGAGGAGGGCCAGGAATCTCCGTACCGTTTTAAGGGCTGAGGGTGTAACGCATGAAGGCATCCTACCAGTACTGCCATCGAGCCATCATTCATCCGTACATAAAAGTAAACGCTTTAAACGCTTTAATTATTTCTTGATTCTAGCAGGCGGATGCTACCTGACGTCCTTGCGTTTTCTCTTTACTGTCCCCCCTTTTTATCACAGGTCTTGGGCCAAGAGCAGGTGGTTGCGGTCCAGGAGGTACTTGCTCCCGACTCCCCTCCAGCCAGCGGACCCCACCTCCCCCCCCTACCCGCTCACCGGACAGCACATTGCCCGACTCGATGGAGATGGTCTCGTCCTGGAGCAGCTGCGGTACCACCTGCCGGAGGGACTCCAGACTGCGGGCCGCCAGCTCCGGAACCACCTCCACCCCCCGTACACGTCCACCTGGGTGCACCATCATGCCGAAGCACGCTGTCAGGTAGCCGCTGCCTGCTTGGGTGGGCACCCGCAGAGCCACAAGTAGGGGACAGAGAAGGGGCAGTGTGGAAGGGAAAGGAAAGGAAAGGGAAGGGGCGCCGCATCTCACATCCGGGCAGTACCCAGGGGGCGCACCCGGGTTTACTTGGCTGGCTAGGGGCCGGGGGATTAGGCCTCCCCCAGAACTGGCGCTCTGGGGCCACTGACTGATCTGATGACAGTTGGAACGAAGGATGTCACTCCACACGGGCTATCAGTGTTAGCCAGTGCTGATGGACTGCTCTGTTGCTGGTGACGGCGACGCGGAGCATATGGGGGGTGAAAAAAGGGACCCAGCATGTCGTGAAGTTGCACATACGCGAGTCACGTGGCATGGAACGGCGCGTGCAGTGCAACACGAATGGCTCAAGCCCCGCAACCCCTGCTGTACGACGCGTCGTACGATATGGTGTCAAGACCATGAGTACATGCCACACGGACCTGGGCAACTGTCCAAATGCGTCCCCTGCCTTGCCTTGTGAGTGGCTGTGAGGGCGTGTCCGTCCGCACACTCGCACCGACAGATGCCATTAGTTGCCTACCCGACAGAACACCGTGCACCCGTGCAGGAATCGTGCGGTGCCGCTACCCATGCTGCCGATGCCAACACACGCAACGTGTCATCGGCCACTAGCCCGGACCGGGGCCCCGGGGGGTCCTCTACCCACCCCTCAGTCCTGGAGATCTCCTCCACACTCCCACTCCCATTCCCCGTCCCTCCCGACCCCTATCCAAAACTCCGGATCACCTGATCCCACGTCCAGGACACGGGCCCCGGGCCGCAGCTGCGGACTCAGAAGCTCGAGCGCAGTGGCGTGCTGTGGGGGCAAGTATGGCACGTAAGGCACGTAAGGCAGAGACAAGGTGTGCACGGAGCTGGGTTCGAAGTTGGGGTTTACGAACTGCAAACGGCACCCGCCAGCACGCCCTACGTGGCTCCCCATGTGGGTCCTCCGTGGTTGGGCCACATGCCACCAGGGCTGTTAGGAGCCCGGGGGAGCGGGGCAACGTGTGTGTATGTATGAACACGTCACAGCCAAACGGTTCAGTCGGCACCCGCCCACGACCGCGCTGAACTGCGGACCAAGGCACATAAATGTACGGCGGGCAGTACACGCCACTCCCCACCTACCATATGTGGGGCGCTAATCGTTTGGCCATAGCCGATGGGGAGAGGGTGATCCTGTCGGGCGATGGGAAATGGGTTTCACCGCAAAGTACAGCAAGCGACAGCATCAGCAGGACGAGCAGCAGCAGCAGCGGGAACAGCAAGCATACGCCGTAGCGGCAGTAAGGCGCGTGCTAGGTCTGGGTGTGGATCGAGAGGTCGCGGCTTTCCCTTGACCTTTGCACCTCTCGCATCACATAATGGAGGTCAACCAGTTTAAATTCAAATTCTCGTGCATGGCGTACTACCTGTCATGAACGCATCACCTGTTACACCAGAGCTCGACGGCGCCTTACTATTCCTTAGTCAAGTCCTCACGATGCAGGTTCCCGTTTCCTGTTCGGTCCCAATGTTTGGTCCCAACAAGACCGAACATGAGGACCGCTCAAACAAATCAACTCTGTCGGGTCCTAAACCCATTTCACAAGTGCTAAAGTCAATAATTGCTCGAGAGCTGCTGGCCCAGGTGTTCGGCACGCAAGCGACGAGCAGGGCGCTTAAAGGTCTGCGCTTAGGTTCAAGAACGACCCACTTCGTAAGCGCGGCTGGACGAAGCCCACTCCGGGGCAACAAAGGCCCCGCGGTCGACCTGACTCATGGCTCTGGCAACCGCCGGAGAGCGAAGCGTCCCGCGATCGATGAGCTTCGATAGCAGCTGGGTCATCCCGGGATTGACCTCGTGGCTTGCCATGGTACTAATGGTGCTGAGGGTGCGTCTTGCTGCACGCACGTTTCGGTAATTGACTGTCTTTGCAATCGCGACAAATGCCACCAAGCACAAGCCGGCTACGCAAGGAATACGTCTCGATACTACAGGTCCTCCTGGCATAGGATGCCTGCTATGGATCAGCATCGGATTTTTGTGTTTTCTGGGAAGTTTTCGTGCTGCTGGGAGATATCCGCGACGCGAGGTCGTTTTTTGAAATGCGTCCAACCTTGATGTCGACAAGGCACCGACCCACAGGGCCAACATTCCTGGGAGATTTTTGTGGAACGTTTTAAACCACTGCTAAATATGCTGTGGACATAGATACTCATTTTGGTGCGTTTGAGCTTCGTTGGGTTCGTCCCCAAGGTCGCAGGTGGCCGGAAGCAGCTGAGGGGTCCACAACTATGAAACGCTTGAGCCGGAGCTCTTGCGCCCGCTGCCAAGAAGCAGCACTGCTACAAGCACCCGAGGAGCCAAAGCAGCCCGAGGCAAAGGCTTGTTTCATGTCCGTACGGATACACCTATATCCAGCTATCCTTGCCAGGTGCTGTAGCTTTGGATAGGTTCGGATCTTCGAACCCTGTTCACCTTCAGTTGATCATTCCCTGTGAATGGATGGCTCGCGTTGCAGTGAGGCTACTTGGTTGATTTGAATAACTTTCCATGTTTGTTGCAATATGCGGCCAAAGTGGTGAATTGGGTCTGAAATTACACCCGTCGGGATCTTAAAATGGCCTTCATACGTGAACATCTGACCCCCATTAGTTTGCGAGATTTACAGTGGATTTTTACAGGTGCGGGTCGAGTGCAACGCTCCAAGGAACGCCTACCGCACAACATTGCGGGCCTTACCCAATTAGAATCCGCGAGGCCGCACTAACTTCAGAGGTCATAATGCCCATTAGGCGCCGTCCATGCGACCCACGGGTCACGTACACTCTGCGGGGCCTTTTTCCCAGGTCCTAAGTCGCAGGAGTAAGCACCAGGGGGCGTCACTCAATCGGGCCGAGCGCAAATGCACATGCTAAAGGGGCGAGGCACGCAGTCGAAGCTCCGTAGCAGTACCCCCAAAGAAACCAAGCACCTATAAACGCGCTGCTAGCAAGGACTATGCGAGCCGAGTGTTGCTGATGGTGGAGTAGCAGGGAGAAGCGGCTCACGTGCTCATCCCACATGCGAGGCGAAACACCCCGTGGTGCAACATGGCGGAGAACGCGCATTTCCACTTCCACCTGCGGCGGATGGTCCCACGGCTGCAGTGAAACGGCTTTACCAAGTATTAGTAGCGATTGTTCTCATTCGCCATCCTCATCACCATCAGAGGAGAGGTCCAACTCGTCCTTCAACATGTGCTCCCCAAGGCTGTCGCACAAGCCCGCTAGCTCTGCGGCACCAAGGAAAGCACAAGCGGCAAGCCCTGAGGAATGAAACCGGGAAGCAGATAACTAAAGCATTTTTGACCCGTTAGCATAAAATCCTGTTGCATAGCCCGATCCCCGATAGTGACCCGCTGAAGTATCATGCACCGGTGTACGACAGGTGCGTGGCCTGTAACAGCATGTGCAGCTATGCGCAATACTCCCAGCGACAATGATGAGGACAAGTCAATGACCCTGCCGTACCGTACCACGCCGCCAATTAATGGCAGCCTAGAAGCTAGCTGCACAAGTGGCAACTGCAACGATGGCAATGCTTCTTCAAACCTCATGTCCGGAGGACCGAATCCTTTGACCCGTATACCCTACGTATACCATACGCACCCTGCGCCTGCTCGTGAAGCAGCTCAGCCAGCAGAACGTCTGCCAGGTCCTCCATAACCTGCGGAGGGAGGACAAGAACGGCGGATAGGAAAAACAGTAAAAATGACTGTATGGGGCCCTCTGCTGGACTGTGGAAGGCGCGTGTGGGGCCTGCATATGGGATTTATGTGCAGTGGCCAAAATGTACGGATGCCGTGATGCCGTACGCAACTGGTGCAAGCATACCATGGGGACGCAGGTAAAGGAGATGCAATGAACCCCCAAAGGCTCCGCGTGTCCTGACCCGATGCCCTACCGCCATGCTGCACCTGATGGTGGCTGCCGTTCATAGGCGCAATCGCTGCGTATTTCGCACCGAGCGCCTGATCCAAATGGTCCAAAGTCTGCCAAGCTCTTTGCTCACCTGTACGGGATTGAGGTTGGGATCCGCCGCCACCAGCAGATCACCATCCGCCAGCTTCTGGGCGCGCAGGTAACGTCGCCGGCCTCGCAGTACGGACTCCAAGGTGGTGTCACTGATCGGATCCGCCAAGGCATGGTAGGCCGCCGCCACCGTACCGTCCTCCGCCATCATGCTAGAGGCGTTGTCAGTGCCGCCATGCCGCGGGGCCAAGACCGAGCTTGCGCCTGCCCCACCATTACCTATGCTGCATTTGGTGCCCCCGGCAAGCATGGCGAGGGTATTTTCCGTAGGCGGCTGAGCTTGGAACACGCGGCGTGAGTTGGGACTCACACCGTGAGCAGGGCTTGAGGGAGGACGAGATGGCAGGCTGGCGGAGGTTGTGGGGTCGTCGGGGTCGAAGGTGCCTAGGTGCCCGTCACGCACCACGATGGGTAGTGCCGCACGGTTGTGCTGCCGACGGGAGCCTTTGGAGTCGAAAAACCATTTGCGCCTGCGTCAATAGGAAGAAGAGAAGTACGAAAACGTGGGACTTGGGGGCCATTTCTACAGGGAATGACACGCGAGGAAAACAAACATGTATAGCTGAAGGAGATGGCCTTCACTCCAAAGCTAGCGAGGGTGGGCTTGAAGGACATTCGGTATGGCATTCCCAACAAGGCCCCCCCAGGAGTCTGCCTGGCCCAGCGTCGTCCGGTGACGGCTCATTAGTGCAGGGCCGCAGGTACACTGCCTGCTCCTCCCTCTCCCCTCGCTGGTTCGCAATCGACACTGGCCGCTCAGAGCAGCCAGGTAAGGGACTTCTGTGGTAGCACATGCTGAAAAGCAGCACCCTGGGACCTCTAATGGTATCCTCTAATGCAGCTGCTCGAGGCTGCATTGGCGCCTCCAAAAGATCCTTGGTAGCCACCATGGAAAGAAAAGCCGCGCACACAATCCCCGCTTTCGCCATCATTTCTTTCCACTGTCACATGCACAACGGTAGTAGTACAAGGCAGCACCAACAAGGCAAGGAACACCTGGCGACGGCGCTCCTGCCTACGTAACCCCCAGTGAGAGGGGCTGCAGCAGTGCCACGCTCACCTAACCTCCTGCTCGTTGCTCTCCATCCGGTTGAGCTCAATGAGCATCCGCTGCAGCTCAAGCACTGACAGCCCCGCACTCCGAGGACTCACAACATCGACGCTGGTGGCGTTTGTGCCGCCACCCCCTACGCCATGCCGCGCCGCCGCCGCCACAGCACCGGTCACCTCGCCCTGTGTGGTCCTTGCCGCTGCCGCAACGGCCGCTGCTACCGCTGCCAAGGATGCATCTCCTATTGTCGTTGCACCAGAGGCTGAGATCATGTTACTATCGGCGCCCTGCAGTTGCCCTGTCCATGCCGCTGGTCCAGCAGCAGCAGCAGCAGCAGCAACAGCGGAATGGCCCTGCAGACCCCGTGCGCCTCGTCCGAGTAGACCTGGCTGTTGGAGCTGTACCTGCTGTGCGTTTAGCTGTAGCGGCTGCAACGCGCGTGAGAGTTTGTTCTCCACTCGGTCCACCATGGAGTGCAGCCGTTGCTCCAACGCATCCAGCTTTTGCAGCCTGAGTATAATGGAGCAGCGGGGCTTCACTGAGTTTGCCGTGCAAGGGTGCAATAGGGTTGCATGGGATTGAAGTACAAGGCAGAAACAGGGCTTGGGCCTGGCAGGAATGGTTGTAAACTAGGTTAAGCGACTGTCATCGCTACGTGTGCCGGGCGTCTTGCGTTACCCAGGAGGCCCTTCCAGTGGCCACCGAGGTCCAATTCCAAGCCTTCGCATGCCCAGAGCACACTACAACGCTGCGCAAACGGAAAGTTGAAAGCGCGGACGAAAATTCTCTAGGGCAATAACCCACCCATTCCTGTCGGTTGCCGCCCCAAGATTGATTGTTGTATGACGTCTTTTCAGAAAAGAACCGATCGGTGGATGTCAGATCCCGTGATACACAGGATACTACAGTGATCCGCCCGTCTCAGAGGCCGCAAGGGGCTTCCCCACCTGGCCATCTCCGCTGCCGCCGCCGCGTCCCGCTCCACAATCTGCTGCACCTGGTCCTCCAAAGACTCCACCAGTATGCCCGGAAGGGGCAGGGCGCCACGTGCGGCAACGCCAGAAGCGGCTGCTGCCTCCTCCGAAACGTGTGCCCAGGCAACCGCAGTGCCACTACCTGTGTCGTCGCCTAGCGCAGCAGCTGCTGGTGCCAGCGTTGGTGCAGGGCCGTGGGAGCCTGAAGTTATCCGGCCGAGCTGTCCAGCGGCTGAGAAAGAAGCCAAGGATGCCATCCGCGTTACCGTTTCCCTGCCTGGGGACGACGAAGATGTTGTCCCTGACCTCGAATGGGGGAGTGCGGCGGTATCTACGGCAGAACCTGCTAGGCCAAGGGCTCGCACGGGCGAGAATTTAGGTTGCCCAAGGCTGTCTAGCATGGGCATCTTGAGCATTGACAATTATAGTAGCGGTCACGACCCACCTATCCACCGGCCAGCAGGGGCCTGACCTGTCAACAACATGAAGCGTGGTGACATCCAGTCCCTGCTGCGCTCCCCACATCCTACATCATCCCGCTGGTAATTGAACAGTGGGACCTGCTCAGCCTTTCCTTCCTAACACCCAACAAGTCCCTACGACATCACGCAAAGCCCGAGCGCATAAGCCCGTCGCGTGCACTATGCCACGGCACGGGGCCGCACCTTGCGCTGCGAGGCTCTTCTTGGATGCGTGTCTGGAAGGGACCCCGGCCCCTGGCTCTTCATGAGGCTCTGAGGAGCCCGAGGCACGAATGGAATTAGCCTTGGGCGGGGTGCCCTCGCCCCCTGGCACCCCGCCAGCATCCACTAAGGACTGCGGCTCGCTACCAACTGACCCACTGGCGAGGCCCGAGCCTGTAGGTGAGTAGGGAGGGGAGCAGGGGCAATGTAGCGGCAGCGGCAGCGACAGCTAAGCGGCACAGAGAGAAGCCCAGCGCGGGTGAATAGTCATGATGCCAGCTTGATGCCCAGAATGTATATAAACTTAACTTCGGTGCAGTTGAAAGATATATAAGCAAGCGTTTTGGAAACAGCCTAGCTGGGGTGATGCATCATGGAAATGGGGCATGTTCTGTGCGATGGGTAGTGAGGAGGGAATGCGGCCGTGGGGAGCCCGGCAGCGTATGCACGGCAGCAGTGGGCAGCAATGCGGAAGTAGAAGGGCAAGGGCACGGGGGCAGTGCTTCCATGCACGCATCCCGCGCCAGATCCATCTCCGAGACAGAGGGCGTTCGAGGAGATTGGCTACCATCCATATGCTGATCCATGGGACAGTCGCCTACAGTGGAGGTCTCCGTCCCCGTCCCAGTCACTTGGGTGCTCACCCTGCCGGGACACGGCCCGTGAACCTGTCCCTGGAGCTGTGCCTCCGCTGGCAGCATGCATAGCTGATGCCAAGGAGCGGGAACGGGAACCGGCGAGGGAGGCGGCACGGGAAGATTCTCTGGATGACTGGGCTTGCACCGCCGCTGTGACGGCCGCTGCCGCTGCCGCTCCTGCTTTCTCGCTCCCGGTGCTGGCACCCGAGGCCGATGCCCCACCGGACGTCTGGGTTTGGGCCACAGCTGATGTCCGGACATTTGGGAAGTCCTGAGCCGTCTGAAATTGGGGCCATGCGCGAAAAATGGGTTGGGTATCGGGTGTTGCTCAGGGCAGCAACTTCCGTTAGCATGGTGGTGTCACAGGTAATGGCGGCCCTTACCTTCACAATCACCAGCATCATGTTACCTGTATTCTGTGCAGCCTCAAGTCCGTGGGCACCAGGTAGTAAAGCCCCCTTGATGCAGCCACTTCCCCTTAACCCGCACTGTTATCAGCCCATCGCACCTCGCCATGCACCGGTACATCCAGGCCGGCCTTGTTTCGCGCCAGCGCGTGTATCGCCGCCACCAGCTTCTCCGCCTCCGCCATGCTGCTTGCCAGCCGCCGCCGCCCCTCCTTGCCGCCCGCTAGCCCGGCGCCGCCCAACACCTGCTTCAGAAGCGCCTTTAATGCGTCCTTCCGCGCCAACCGCTCGCGCTCCTTGCCCGTCATGGCAATGGCCGTGGCAGAAGCGCCGGCCTTCGTTGTCATGACGGCGTCGGCCTTCTTCGGTGACCTGCCGGCTTGAGCGCCGGTGGTCACATGGCCATGGGTGGCCTTTGCCGCCAGGCCTGCACTACTCCTTCCTTGCTGGCTGGCTGCCGAGGGGCGGCCAGGGGGCCCTCGGCGAATGAACCATGGCGGCGGACCCGATTCGACTTCTACCCTGGTGGTGGCGGCCGCCGCTGGCTCGGCGGCAGCAGACCCCGCAGCTGCTGCCAGCTGCGGAGGCGGCTGTTGCAGTGCCGAATCGAGGAGCGCCTGCAAGCGTGGTTCAGCTTTAATTTACACCAGGCTTCGAGATGTCTACCCTGCCCTTGCTACCGCTAAGCTACGCGACTTTTCTCGGGCCTATCCGCGGGTCCACAGGCAAAGCATTTGGTATACATCGTGCTCCGCGGACTGCCTATGCGACACCTCTCAGTTCCGATTTTAGCGTACTTTGCCGACTGACTCCCGCTTCCTTCTGTTTCCCCAAGCCACCTCCAAACCAAATGTGGGACTCGCATGAAGAAAACAACGCCCACCGGCTGAGCCGGCCAGCCATCCACCCGCACACCTGCTGCTGTGCGAGTTGCACGCTATTTAGCTGCACCGCCACTGCGAGCTGTTCATTCTGCTGTGCGAGCTGCTGCGCCACTTGCAACACGTGCTGGTACTGTGCAGCCTGGTTCGCTGCGGCGGCGGGAGACACGCCACCCAGCGCCACGGCACGTGCCTCATCCTGCCCCAGTCCCGCCGCTAGAGTCTGACGGGCAAGCGCCGTGGAGAGGGCTAAGCGCCGCTCCCGCTCTGCGGCGGCCTGCACAGGAGCAGCGACAGTGGGCACCTGCCAATGAGCACCTGTAATTGCAGGGCACGTTATCTCCGGCTTCGGGGCTTCGGCCCAAAGCGCGTATGGAGCATACATCGCGACGCCATGCCTTTCAGCAGGCCATGTGAAGCCCATCAGCACCCTGTCCGCACCCCCGACACAGGTACCGGGGGTTTACACATCCCCGACCATGAAACATACATCACGTGGCGCCATTCCCTAAACCCGCTACTCCGCTCCTAAAGATGCTTAGCAGCGTGCATAACCACCCTTTTGCCACCTTTCCCTAGGCACCCCGTGAAGCCCCGGAAAACGCCAGTCCTGCTTGAGTTAAGCTCCCCCCTCCCTTCGTGGACGCCACGGAAATCCCATTGGCGATCCAGAAACCCAGATCTCCCGTTTTGATGACGCGTCACCTGCAGGTGTGGTATCGCTGATGAAGCACCTCGCAGCGCCGCCTGGAGACTAGCAGCGTTAACCCAGTCCGGTCGCATGGCGGCTGACGATGAGCGGCGCGTGAGTGCCTGCGTTTCAGTACGGCAATGGTAAGCCCCATGCACTCCACCCTTAGCAGCTGCGTACGGCAGCGCAGGCGGCTACGACCGACACTGCCGCATAATCCACAAGAGCCGCTCCTTCCGGACAAGCGCTAGACAAATGAAAAGGTTCTACAAACCGCACAGATGCACGTATATCAGGTATCGTGCGGAATGCGTTTCCCGTCCTAGGCGACGCGATGGGGACAGTCGGCTTGCAGTTACACAGCATGATGGCCAGCGAAATACCTGTTCCCCTAGGGACCTGACTTTGCAATTGATGTCAGGCACGCAGGCTATGCCGGGCTGCCTTCCTGCTTATGCCGGTTTGCTTTTCTGCCCGACTACAAGCGTAACGAGCATAGTAGCTTCCCAGCCAGCTTCCCAAGCGCACCTGCGGATGCACGTATGCGTCGGGTCTCGCGGAGAATAGCCCCGGCTCCACCTGTGTGTACAGCTTGCTGACGGCAGGAGCCGCTCCGCTGTGCTGCTGCTGCACCAGCGGCGGCTGTTCCTGCTTGGGGCTCGAGCGGTACGGCGGCTTCAACGGCGATCTTCGCGGCGAGATGATCACCACCCGCTTTGACGACTTGCGAGATGCCTGTGAGGAAAAAGCACGTCCCAGCTTTCCAGCGAGACCGGCCGACTGGCCTAACGGGACATAGCGCAACACTGACTGCTGCGCTAACCCAGCAGACATCCGATATTCCACCTGTTTCCCGTGGGGCCAAGACCTTCAAGGCTGCCGACGTACCTTCGCATCCCGGAGCAGCGTCCGTCCTGCTGTGGGCTGGCTCTGGGCGCTTGGTCCGTAGATGGCATCTGCGAGCGCTTCCGAGGCTGGACCAGTACCCTCCCCCCGGAGAAACCATGCCGTTTCCGGCTTAGCTGGGGCCGCTGCTGCTCCTTCCAGCATGAGGCGAGGTGCCAGACCAGGTGTACCAGCAGGTCCGGGGCGCCTGCAATTCAGGGGGGGTACTGGTGCTACTGGTACATGGGGTGCCCAGGGTGTTGCACCTATAGTGCTCAGCGTGCTTGGCGGTGGTCTGTGTCAGGCTTGGGGATGACGGTGATCAAGGCGGCGGAGAGCGAGGGTAACCGGACGTTTGGCGGTAGGCATGGGGACGTGTAGGTGTTGGCTTGCGACTTATAGGACAAGAGGTGTTGGTTCATGTGATTACCGGGGCCAGGGCCGAGGCCTTGACACTTGTGTGCAGCATGCCGCGCACACTTTACCTTGTGAACGCCAGTTGTTCGGCCTGTGGCGCAACAAGATTCGCCTCGGTTGCCGCCTCCCCTAAAAAAGCGGATTGCTCCCGCGCGACTGGTGGTGGCGGTGTCCCACCTGTGGCGTCTCCATAGCTGTGGTTATTTGGGTCACCTCCGTTCGGGGGTTCCACGGGGCCAGTTGCCGCAAGCTTTGCCGCTGCTTCACGCAGGCGCTGGCGCACCCAGGCGCCGAAGTCCACGTCCGCTGGAAGGCAGCGGCGAGGTGCAAGTAAATGTCGACCATCCCAGTTTGTTCAGAGGTGCAAGTCCGCACTTGCCTCCAGAGGCCTTCAGGAGCTCATATTCTCGCGATAGGCGCTCCAGTAGCTCGCGATTGGCAACGAAGCGCTCAAGGTCCATGGCCACACTGATTCAAACCGCAGCACCAATACTTCGCGTGCTAGACCGTGAAAGTCTAATTTGGATAAACATGTACATTTAGGTTGCTGCGTAACTAAGGAGTGCGCTGTAACTCCGCAAGGGCCAAGCGATGCTTTTGGTACAATTATTTGGGGGGAACCTTCATGTATTTGCTCCCCTAAAGATCCACTGACATCTGCCACATCGACTTAGCAAAAAAAAGTCAAACACTCTCGGTCAAAGGTACGGGAAGAGCGACAGGTTAAGAGGTGAATGTTATCAACCGCTTCGGGGCTTTTTCGTGGTTATGTTATAAGGGTTGTCTTTAGTTGTGGAACCATCTGGTTACCTGTCGGTCAATACTGCTCATTCCCTGGTGGTGAGGGTCTGAAAGGAATGCTTTCGCGAGATCATCTGTCGCGAGCCTTCGGACGATAAGGAGCCTCGATATTGCCTTTGTAGGCTCGCTCTGCTGTCGGAGAGCTCTTACCAACCATGGCAACTCTGCGCAAGGCAACAATGACAGTGGCTGCTCAGCAATCCAGCCCAGTAAGCATCCGGGAAGAAATTTCCAGGATACATTTCACTGTGGAAAAAACGTCACGATCGGGAAACTAGCCTATGCAACTCGCCGGGATGGCATGCGGCGCTTTCCACGTCAGCCGGTTGAAAGCCTGCCTTGCCCTTGCATCTGCCTCATTTCGCTATGTGACCATAACATCTTTGCTTTTGACCTGTTCCTGTCCTTTTTTTCAGATTCCGGCACCTGTGCCGGTACCAGTCTCCCGTCGCTCAGTTTTGGGCGCGATCCTGTCGCCCCTCGCTGCTTCGGCGCTAAGCGCACCTGTTGCACAAGCAGCTGCAAACAAGAAGTTGAGCAGGGCTGAGCTGTTGCAGCAACAGTAAGTCTTGGGGGGTTAGCAAGTATATGTAGGGATGTAAGTCTGTCTGTCTCGTGCCGGGTCAGGGCGTACATGCACCTCGGTAGGCAAGGCAAGGTATCCTTTCCACACATGCAAACCCTTCTTTCATGTTCACCTGCTGTTTCTGATTGGGGATTCCTTGCTTAATCGCAGACGTGCTGAGCGCAAGGAGGCTATGAAGGAGAGAAACGCCAAAGTTCGCACGGGGGAGGCTAAGCCGTCGTTTTGATAAGGGTATCCACTAGTATCCGATTTTCCAGCGATTCCCAATATTAATAAAGCCACAGCAACAACAATCTGCGCATCTGCACTTATGATGCACGGATAAGTTGCGGGGGGAATGCTGGAGATGATTTGCAGCTGGTGTCGACAAGACGAAGAATATTAATTAACGATATGTTGTTCAGTTGTTTACAAAGGCGTTTAGATTTTGTCTGTTTTGCATTTTTCGGCTCCTGTCATACGTTTCTGTTGCCGTCCACGTAGTACGGAAAGGGCTGTGAACCCACTGGGGGGGCCCCACAGCACCCCTTTGGGCCACTGTTATCGAGTGGTTGCTTGATGAAGTCTTTGATGCAGGAATTGGGCAAATGGGTTAGGTTAAGACTCGTTGTAAGGAAATCAAGCATCGCCTTTCCCGTCACCGGCTTATGGCATGGCCTCCCACGTGTTTCAAGCATAAGGCAGTTACGACGACGCCTTCAACAGCTCAAAAACCATAACCATATGGCACGCAGGCCACTGCCTGCCACAACTGGAGTGTCTACATGGCATCCGTATGACATATCTTAATGAATTTGCATGCAGACCTATGCTTGGCCCCCTTGATCCCCACGCACATGGCACACCGGTGCTCTAGCTCAGCTCGGGCGACAATAATGCCCAAGCTATTCCATTACCTACAGCATTTGAGCTCACGCATTGGATTCAGCGAAAGCAACCATGTCCAAATGGCGTTGTCCGTGCTCAGAATCCCTGACGCGTTGTAATGCCTATTTCTCATAGACAAAACAACGCCCAATTACATCTGCGCTAATATTATCGAGGTATCCTAACATGCACGTGAAAGCAAGACATAAGATAACTCACAGCGGAGACATGTCCATCCACCGAGCTGTCCAACGGGGTTCCTCGCTTGCTGCGGCAGCGTTAGGGGATAACAAGAAATTAACGAGCCGAATTGCATTGCTAAAATCTTCAATTTCAGGACAACGCATCTTGCGACCAATACCATTGTCCGACCCTTGCTCTTCCGGAAGGCCATGGACGTCGATAAGTGGCTTTCCGCCAACTTTCTACACGCCATCCCAAAGCTTTAATGGAGAGGAAACACGATCTGGCAGCAGTGTCGATGACCAAGGGGTCAGCGGCGATGAGAAGGAGCGACGCGCTCAAACACGCCTGGAGCAGGTTAGCTCGAAGTTATGACATCACCGAGAGACTCAACGGTCAATGTAATTCAAGCATAAAACGGATGTTCATGCCTGGGCAAGCTTCCAAAAGCTGGCACCGTAGTCCAGCCCCATGTTGTACCTCAAGCCATTTGGAGAGTGATGAAAACCCTCATAAGCCTCCTTTACACCGCACTCATGGGACCATCGCAGGTCCGACGAGGACTCGCAAGCGGCACACTGGGCTTCGGGTTCAGCGCAGGGGGCTTCCTGTACCCCTACCACTTAGGGGTCCTCTGGGAACTTCACGAGCTGAACATCCTCAAGGATTACAAGGTACGCAAGGGGGAAGGAACATCAGCAGCTGGTGCGTTGCAAGCTGCTCTATTTTAATGTGCTGGACAGGTTCGACAGGTTGCGGAAACCCAACAATCCGTGCTGCTTGCGTGCCTGTAAGTACCACGCCGGCGTGGTACGCCCCTTCGCCCTACCATATACTAACCCACAGCGCGGTCTCTCGCTCCCTGAAACTGTCGATATCAGCTTCCTTATGAGGCCCGATAATCGTGAATTGTATAGTAGTAATGGTCCTTGGCACTCTGCCGTACCGTAGGTGCAAATGGCGGGCGCAAGTGCGGGTTCGCTGGCTGTGGCGACTTACAACTGTGGCCTGGACCCAGAAAAGGCGACACAGGCCCTTCACGAGTTTGCGGGAAACTGCAGGACCAATGGGACTCGCTACCGGTTGGGTGAGTCCGCGTCCTGCAGAGTGCTGTGACGCCTGCGGGCCAGGGCCGGCTGGAGAACGGTGCCTGTATTGGCTTCCCGGGCGTGGCCTCGGTCTACGTGGTCTCGGCTGTCGGCTGGCAATTTGGACGGAACGACCGGCACAGGCCGGGGTTGTGGCGCCGGTGTATATGTACGTGCGCGCTGGCGGGTGGTCCTGAGATTGCGTGCATGCAGCATTCCTAGCAACATTTCCATACCCATTCATATCATCTCCGTGCGCCTGCTGGACTTGCATCCCATAATCCGGGCCGGCCACGTAAATCCCCTGGACGCTTCCTGTATCCATCAGGCCAGCCACGTTGTTCCCGCCTTACCCGTCGCCCAATGCACGCGCTGCCTCCTTTCTCGCTCCTCCACGTCACTTCCTCATTCCTCAACACCAAGGTTGCTCCCCGTCCGCCCTGGTCCCATTCGCCGCCGCCAGGGGGTCTGTTGCGGGACTTCCTGCATGCTTACCTGCCGGTTGACGCCCACGAGCGGTGCCGAGGAAACACCCACGTCGCCCTCACACGGCTCTTCCCCGTGGTACGCAGCGAGGTGAGACGGATATGCAACAGAGCTGAGGAGAGCGGCAGGTGCAGGCCGGTTCTGTTGCTGTACGCACACGTGCACAAGCGTCATGCGCACGGAATGGAGATGCAGGTGTCTGCATCGGAACGCAACGTACATGGATCAATCTGCCTGTCGCTTTGTCTGTATCTGTCTGTCTGTTTGTCTGTCGCTTATGTTACAATTTACAAACGCAACCCGCGCTTGTGCGGGGGACCCAAGGACGGTCCAGTTAGATAAGAAAACACACACGCACACATTGCGCTGGAGCAGCTCTGCCGGGTGATGGGTGGCCCTTTTTAGTTTCAGGCGGCTGGGCGCTGCTGGCTGTTGACGGAAAAACTGGGTCTGTGTCCTACGATTTGGGTCGGTGCAAAGGGGTAGGATAGAGTGGTGTGCAGGCTATAAACCTAGCCGTCCTGCCGTAAGTGCCTTTCTTTCTTTCCTACACCCTTACCGGTCTGCATTTTTTGTCTGTACTTGTACACGGTGCACATGTGCGGTTTACGCAGCTGGTCAGCGAGTTTGAGAGCAAGGACGACTTCGTCAATGCGTTGCTTACCTCCTGCCACATACCCTTCTACTTCAACGGTTCCTGGATGACGGAGTTCAGGGGCAAGTAAGTGCCTGCGCTGCGCGCGAAACATGCTTCCTTGACCTAGGAGTACGGGTGACTCAGCTTTGCTGTCATGACAGGGGCATCTTGACACGTTTTCCCAACAATGCTGCTTTGCGCTGACTTCCATTCCCCACGTCAACTTTTGGCAGTTAATCTTTTGTTTCTTGCACATAATCCCCCTCATAACCTGCCTGCCTGCCTGCCTTCCGTAAATCACAGGTTTTACATGGACGGCGGTGTGGCGGCTTTTATTCCGCGCCCGCCCACGGATCATGCAGTCAAGGTGTGCTGCTTCCCGGTTAACGAGGTCTTGGCAACCGTTCAGGTGGGAGCGACTGCAGCCGGGTTCGGACGTGTTCAGGATCGTGCGTGTGGGGGGGGGGGCGGAGGCGAAGGCGAGAGGTCGAAAAGGGAAACAAGGTTGGTTATTTTGCAAAACAGCAGCAGCAGCCCTGGTCCACTTTTACATCAACATCAGGTCCGTTCTACTAATACACGAATTGCAGCGTGCACCATGTCTTGCCGTACCGCATCGACGGTTTCAATGAGTTATACGGTTGTGCCGTACCGTATCGTTCTGCAGGACCGCGTGGCGCAGTATGACAGGGTGGCATCGCTGCTCGATGTGTCCATCAGTCCGGACGCCTACGAGCCCTGGCCCTTCAACTACGCCAAGATGGTTACCTGGGCACTCGTGCCTGCGGACGACGATATGCTCCGCTACATGATAAACAAGGGCCGCCGCGACGCTCGCGCCTGGGCGCAGTGCATGTTGCTGGTGCCACAGGACGCCGCCGCAGGCCTCAAGCACGGCGAGGGCGCTGGCGATGTCGGAGGCGGCGCGGAGCGAGGGGAACAGCGAGTACAGCAGGCACAGGCCCGGCGGGAGCTGGAAGCAGCGGCAGAGGGCAACGACGGCGATGGGACGACGACGCGCGACGGCGAAGCCGCCGCTGCCGCCACCGCGGCGGCGGTGGTACAGGTGACGAGCGGCGGCACGCAGGGTACTAATGCGAGCGGCAGCGGAAGCCAGCGGACAGATAGCCGGTAACTTAGCAGCGTGTAAGAGGTTTGGAAGGCAGACAAAAGCTGTCGCCCAAGCGCGGCTTGAGGGTGTTGGCGAAGTGGTCGAGGCCGGAGGTAGCGGCCGTGGGTCGATGGGAAGGCGGGTAGGAGGGCGCGCTTTCGTGCACATTGCCAGTCGCTCTCCTTCCTGCCTGCCATGTGAGCTTTCGTGCAAAGCAGGACCCGATTTGGTTCTAGGTCAGATGCCAGTGCCAGGCTGAGGAAACGCCACGGGCCTGAAAGCTGCTTGTAGTCCAAGAAACGGCCATTTTCAGGTGCATATTTATAATTTCTTTGCAGGGCGATAAGGAAGACATTTGGGTGCTATCCTCGCGTAGCTCTGCAGCAGTGTGTCGTGTATCCCACCAGCTCTCAATGTGGTGAACTGGGGCGAGGTATTGGTGTTGTATTGGGTTAGGCTTACCCCCTGTAAACGCATTGATGCGTGTGTCGAGGAACAAACTGCACTGTCTAAGCCCTTAGATGTGCGCTCGCACCCTCTGAGCACTCGAAATTTGCAGGCAGCACTCTAAATGCAGCTGTTGTGCACCAGGGTGGATGACATGTTTAGCTATGGACCTGGTAAACTGTGTCGACATGAGATGTTCTTGGAGTTAATCAGGATATTTTTGTGCTCTTCGATTTTGTTCATGTTCGCGCCGCTCCTCTCCTTAGGCATAGCCCTCCTCCTCCGGTTTGGAAGCCTGGGCCCGGCATTGGTAGGGGCTTTGTACTTATTTCGTACTGCGTAGGGTAGCGAGGGCGTTATTAGTTTGCATGGACATGGGTTTTAGATGCCACGGGACTTAAGGGCTGTATATTGTGGAGTGTCTGTGGAGTGTCTGTGGAGTGTCTGCGGTTCGTCCAAGATTTGTACAACCTGGTGCAACACTGCTATCGACATGCGCCATTAGATTAAGTCATGGGAGCGTCGATGAAAACCCAAATCAGATTTGGTGGCCTCAGGATAACGGCTTCTTGATGGCGGTGCGACGGCTTTCCTGGGGATGCGGTATTTCGATCTTGCAGGTACGCGTTATGGCGTTAACAGGACGTCCTTGGGCAACTAGTAGCATAGTTTTAACGGGTTTCGGCCGGCCGAGCTTAAGGATCTGGCTTTAGGTGTCAGGGTTGTACCCATTTGTACCTGCATGTTATACCGTGCGTATGTTAATCCAAACCTTTTTATAAATGCTATACAACAGTGCAGCGGTGCACGCCGGCGCCGCTTGGACAGCCATGGTTGAGCGGACACGGTACATATAAACGATAATTGACGACGCAGAAGGGATTAAAGCAAAGGGGGGAGCTCTGGAGTACTGCAACGGGGCCATAATGCGGCCAATTGCCAAAGGTAGGCAGAAAGGAGACAAAGTGGTGAAATCCTGCCAAGGTTAAGCAAGGATAAAATTTGGAATAATTTGCAGCAACTCTTAGATGGAACAGTAGCAGCTTAGCGTCTAAGCCATAGACACTTCGTGCCGTATAATAAACATAGCTGTTGGAACTAAGGAATGAGCCGTCCATTTTTACCAAATGTACATATTTTTACAACACATAATTCCTAGGAATAACCCTTTAGGGTCTAGGGAAGGCGTGCCCCCGTAGTTGTGCCGGCTGTCCGATTTGTAAGAAAGCACACCGCATGCATTCCATGCCTGCACGCCAACGACTCATTTCATCCACATGTACAAAAGTGACAGCAGACTTGCTTGTACTTGTTCGCCCACCCTGCTCTAAGCTGGCGTCGATTTCCTTGGCAACCGCGGCGGCAACACCGCTAGCAACAATTAAACCAAATATCCGGAGCGACAAACCATGGCACGAGATTATGGAACATGTATCTGCGTTTGGTCTCTTCGACGACTCCAAGTACTTCGTTGACTGTCCGGTTCATCGGACATGGGACCAAGTCTCTGGCGACTGGAACAAACTGCTTTTGGACGGTTTGACAAAAGAAAGGTTGCATGAATTCATAAAAATGAATTTCAGCTTGCCGGGCAGGTGGGTTCTTGGTATCGTCCTGCTGAATTTTTGGGATATGGGTTGCCCAGCTTCGTAATGAGGAATTTCCCCGGACAGCGACCTGAAGCCTGTCCTCCCGCCTGGATGGCATGAGGCACCCCCGCCTTGGTTGGATGATGTTCCGGAACCCGAGATGCGTAGCCTAGGTGCCGCTGTGCACGGGTTATGGAAGACGTTGTGCCGCCAGGTGGGTCGCCCGGCTTCAGTTTCCGGTATCCTCACCAGTCCCAATATGTCACATGTCTGAGTCGTACGGCATTCCTAAGCAATAGCCCTTGAACCGGCTCGCAGCGGTGCGGCTGCTGACTATGCAACTGAACTCGTATACATGTGTTCCTCGTGTCTGATTGGCGATAGCAAAGCGGGCACGTCCTCATGACATCGTATACTTTTTCCGCATCGTATCAGCCCCCTTCCTTCCACCCAGGTTTCTGCATCAGTGATTGACAACACGGACCAGCACACGCTCCTACCGCTGCCTTATGCTTTCATTATTCCCGGTGACCGCTTTCGCGAATGCTAGTGAGTTTGGGGCGACCGCGGACCAAGCGCCGGCTGATTTTCGTCAAGGGCAAGGCTGAGGCGATAAGGACCATCGGCCTTGTCAAGAGAGGCTGGGGAACTTTGGACCATTTTTTAACAAATAGAGAGCATTCCGGTCCATTAGAGAGGCTAACTTCCCGGTCGCCGGACCTTGAAATGGCCGAGGCTGGTCATATATCCCCTGGTTTGTCAAGCGATTCTGTCTGCTGCCGTGCACTTTGGGAGCAATGGGGTGAAGCGTTAAAAGGGCGAAGTGGGTGAAGGGGTGGGGTGAAGCGTCACGACGTCCATCCTTTAATAGCGTCCAGCCTGCTTACGTCTGTGTGTAGCTTCCTACATGGCCTGTGTTCGCATGTTTCCATATTGAGTCTTGCTTTTCAGATATGCACAGCAACCTCAAAACCGCCCCTTAAAAGCGCCTGCTCTTGTGTACGGCTTTTCTTTTCCTTCTCCAGCAACTGGGATTCGTACTGGATTATTCGAGGCCTCCTAGCGTGCGACCTAGTCCTGGCCGCTGAGCACTTGGTACGCAACCTCCTCCACCTCGTCGATGTCTGGGGCTTCGTACCTAACGGCGCACGCCGTTACTACACTAACCGTAGCCAGCCGCCACTGCTGAGCGCCATGGTGCTGGCTGTATGGAGCAGTAGTAACGACGACAGCCTGCTGCATGACGCCCTGCCGCAGCTCGTCAGGCAGCATCGCTACTGGAACACGGGAAACAAGGCTCTCAGAATTCGTGTCCGTGGGAAGGATGGACACCATGGCGCGACGGGTGGGACAGAAAAGGCAGCGCATGAGAACGCCGTCGAGGTGGTCACGTTAAGCCGCTACCACGCTGAGCTCTACACTCCTCGGCCCGAGAGCTTTAGGTGTGTTAGCGGTTGCCAACCATCCGCATGGCACGTCAAGCATGGCATGACCAGGTATTCCATGCGTTAACTTGCTCTGCCTTATGACGTTGTTTGCTTAGGCAGAGGTGAGCCTGCGGACGTGGGCTGCAACTGGCCCTCCTTAAGCTGGACGCCTTTCTACTTTCCAATTACACCTATTGTCGCATGGTGACTGAATGCTGCGCTTGCAATGCAACTGCAGGGAGGATATGCAACTAGCGGCTAAGGCCAGTGTTAGTGGACGAGAGGCTGCGGCCCTGTTTTGTGACATCGCAAGCGCGGCTGAATCTGGATGGGGTAAGCTGGCAAACGCGCCATATGGCCTTGGCTTGAAAGCCTTCTACGCCATAACTTGCCACTGGCGAGCGCTATCCTAACTTATGTATGCCGAGGTTATGCATGTATCGCTGGTCGACTGCTTTGTTTGCTACGAACCGATTTCTGCCGTTGCGTCGGGCGCTTCCCTTCCCTTCCCTTCCTGCAGACTTCAGCAGCCGGTGGTTAGTGGGCGGAGAAAGCCTGCAACACACGCGGACGACGCGGGTGCGGCTCGGGGTACAAGCCGGATACCAGCCCTGTTCGTAATGTGCTGTTTGTGTATGTTTAGTAAGGGTATGCTCCCTGGCTTTGCTGATGTTACGTGACCATTTGAGTAGGTGCCAGGAAATATGCAAGATAATCCCTAATTAGCATGTGCGCCCCGCCAACCATCGCCCTCGCTACAGATTGTGCCCGCGGACCTGAACGCGTGGCTTTACCGGATGGAGAAGGATATCGCCGCGATCGCTGCCCACCTAGGGGACACACAGCTCCGCGACGAATACACAGCACGAGCGGCAACGCGCTTGCAAGCTATCAACACCTTAATGTGGAGCTCCGCGGACGGCTGCTGGCACGACCTTATCCTACGAAACGCCTCCGACACGCCGAACGCCCCCTGTTCAGAGCAGCTTTCATCCACTAAAATTCAGCCTCTTTCCCAAAATGACACCGGCGCCGACTCCCCTTCATATCCTGTGTACGACGTGGAGCAGCGACTCGGCACCTACGTGTCCAACTGGGTGCCGCTATGGTGTGGATGTGCTGAGGCCGGCAGTGCTCGCGCGGAGGCCGCTGTGTCTGGGCTAAAGGCGTCCAGCCTTGTGCAGCTTGGCGGCCTGCTGACATCAATCTACCGTTCTGGGGAGCAGTGGGACGCACCCAACGCCTGGCCGCCCCTAGTTCATATGGTTATTGAGGCGGCGGCAGCGTCGGGTATCGCCGATGGCAGGGCCCTTGCTGACCAGCTGACTGACAGCTGGTTGCACTCAAACTTAACGGCATGGAAAGCCACCGGGCACATGCACGAGAAGTACGACGGGTACGTGCTTGGTGGAGTGGGGCGCGGTGGGGAATATGAGCCCCAGGTTGGATTTGGCTGGAGCAACGGCGTGCTAATGGCGCTTATGCAGCAGAAGTATCACAATGCCGCGCAACAGCTGTGAAGTCACAGTACGCCAGGCAACTGCAAAATGGTGATCATTGCATGATAAATTTTTTAAAACCGATATGTGTAGCTGTTTCAGGATGCGCTCCCTGGCGGTTGACGAGGTATAGTGACAGCTGCAGGATTGGGTACGTGACCCCTCATGCACCGGCATGCATAACCTGTGAAAGCTTGTGCAGGATGTGACAGCTTGTGCTAACCGGATGCTTATCGGGTAGCATAGTGGATAGTGTTTGCATTACATCGCGTTATGGATTGGGTTTGCATTACCAATGAGCAAGGTGTCCATCGAAATAACGAGGTGCACGGTGTCGGGGTCCCATGGAATCCCGACGACGTGTTCATATTTCACTAGTATCATTTTGGGACTCTCAGATTTGGACACGCCTGAATCTCCTGTGAAACTGTGGGATCATTTACTTCTATTTCAGTTTTGTGATTTCGTGGGATTTCCACAACTTCAGATTTTGTGATCCCATGGGGTTTCCTCTCCTACAACTTCGCTGGTACTCTTACCTGATGGCCTTGGCCTGCCCACCGCTTCGGCTGCATTGCATATGACCTGCGCTCTATGGCGAGCCGTCACCGGCTGAGGACTTCGTGATGTCTATACATACATATGGACAGCTGTACCTTGTTTTCCATGCTCTGTAATATTACTTATTTCCACGTTCACGGTCATTACGAGTGCATATGAGTACTGCCTGCATACTCGGAAGGCTTGCCAAACGTTTTTACAAAACTGTAGACGCCACCTTAGCTACCAAAATACACATACGTCCGGCCTCGCGAGCACTTAGAACCCAAAGAGACCGTACTGACAGAATCCAAACAGACAGTACGGCGTCCGTTCAAGTTGTAACAACTAGCGTCCCCAGGATATCTGAACGACCTCTCGTAGGCGCCAGAACCTTGCTGTGACGGGTCACGCCCACCTACTCAACTACAAAATGGTAAGCACTTTGCTGCGCAGCTTGTCGTTTCGCATCACTGTCGTTCTGTCAACACATAAAAACGCTGGGATGGGCTGCACGCGGGTAGCTCCCCCTGGACGAAAGAACGATCCTACCCCTCGCAACATGCAGGGAAGCAGCCGACCTTTAAGAAAGGGGGACCCTGTCTGGTCCGTCTGCGCTGCTGTTACCGATGTTCCTGCCGGTGAACCTCAGTCCTCCCCACTCTGGTCTGACGAGCACATTGAAAGCCGCCGTCCGTTCCTGTCAAGCTGTGCTCAAGGACACGAAGGCATAGCGAGAAGACCGGTTGTCGCCAACATTGTCCTCTGACACGGCTCTGAGATCGCTCAGGCAATGCTGCACTCCACCTCAACGCCAGACGGTGGCACCCACTGCATCATCATCGACACAGTCTCCGCCGAAAGGTTCTTCAGATCCACAAGCCGGTGGTGCGTCCGAATCTCAAAGTGCTCACGAGCATCCTTGTTGACGTGCGGGGAGCGCAGCACGCAATACACCCGCTTCTTGGTCGGGAGCATGACTGCACGCAAGCGGGGTTTGGAGTGTGAAACATCATGCCTTATAGGCCCGGTGAGATTTTATTCCCGGAAATTGGCCAGCACGTGGGAGACATCCTTGAGGCACGTCATCCCAAGGGTACATGTAAGTACAATTGAGGGTGAGGTTCAAGCGATCACAGACCAGTGCGCATGCTGAACAAGTGCACCAGAATGTTCCCCAGTGACCTTCATCGGGCAGCAAATTGCAAGTCATCCCGGCTGGCAGAGGCGGAATCCTTAAGACGCACAAGACACCAACCAGCAACCACAAGACAAACGTAATGCAGAAAATACTTCAGGCCTCAGAATTTAGTTATACCCTTGATTGTGCCCATGCGTACCTGGTCCCTTGAAGGCAGCGCCAGTGGCGTCCGCAACCGTCTGAATCTGTGCAATGCAGTCCTCCAGCAGCTTTACCTCATAGCTACGCATACGGATGCGAAGGCGGACCTTGTCGCTAGCAGGGGCCAAAGGAGTACCAGCAGTCATGGGCAGGTCGAGCTCGTCCTCATACTGCTCAACATCCACAGCCCCAGTGTCAGAAACGACGGCGTTAGCAATTAAGAATTGCGACGGACGCTCTGCGCGACGGGCGATAGCGCCGCTCTGTAGGCGAGCGACCATTGGCCGCGAGGTGGTGAAGGGCTGAGCCCGGCTGCAGCGGCTAGCAAGTGCCTGCATTCTCAACTAGTTCAAATTAAGAAAGAAGCCAGTTGAATTTGTTCGGCACTTTTCAGATGTGCAACTTTGAAGGTGGTAACTGGGCTTGTGGAGCCGCCTTGATGTACGACCCCGAAGACCAAAATTGTCACAGATAGCCAATCGCTTCCCAAATAACAGCAAATTGAGCAAACATTTGATTACCATATAAATCAAAGCCCGAGCACAAAACGAGTGACTAATTACATCTAACGCTCAAAAACAGCTGCTTTTTTGCAGTCTGCATCGTTTCATTCTGCCTCCTGGTTTCATAAAAACTTAAATGCCAATCTGGCATAGGTTGCTGCCTTTATGATAATAGTTCCGAGCGAACGAGCGTGACTATCCGTATGGGGATAGACATGGCCCCCTCCACTGCGCTACACACGTGCGCCCAAGACAACGCTACAGGGCGGCATTTCAGCCGCACGCTGCAACAGGACGTTGACATCGACAGGCGGATATCTCTGAAGCGTCTTAAGGATCACCGTGAAGTCGCCGTTTCGAAGGATGGAGCCCACGTTCAGGATCATGGCCACGCATATCCGCAGTAGGCAGTCCATCCGTCCGTGCGGATCGCTTAGAATTGTGTCCCAGATGCGCAAGGTATCCGGAAAGGCGAATTCCTGGCTGAGCAAGAGCGTCAACCAACGGAACGCGTAGAATTGCGGGTCAACCTGCACGCGCACAGCATGGCATGACCGCGAGGCGTTGGGGAGGATGCAGAGGCTACAAAAGCATGCCGCTGTATGCCGTTGCACAATCGTATCCACATCACTTCTAGCCACCTACGTGCTCCCCTACGCTCGGCATGCACGGCAGTCCTGCACGGCGAGACAAACGCCGTACCTGCCGTTCCAACTGCTTACCGCACACCCATCCCGCACATTTCGGCCAGTCTCGGGTCGGTAGTCCTCCCTTAACACGGAACCCGCACACGTGCAACCCAGACACCCACCTTGTGCACCACTTCCATATGATGCCACAGCTCTCGATCATAGTATTGCAGCACCAGCATCAAGCGCCTGATGGTGGCCTTGATGCCCGTCGAAGCGTTGTCCAGTTGCTGGCAAAAGTGATCGCGGAAGTCTGAGATGAGCTCCATAAAGCACCAGAACGCGTCCGCCTCAGCGTACTTCGCGGCGTGTAGGTCTTGTGTGTCATTGCGAAATAAGTAGTACAGCGGCGCGATGAGCTCGTTCATGCCCTGAATGTACCGCAGCCCTGGGTTGAGCTTGGCGTACATGAACAGCGCACGCTTCATGTCCTGGAGGAGCCAGAGGGAGGATAAGATAATGCGATGGGGGCGGAATGGGATGGAAGCTTCAACCAGCAACCCACGAAAATGGAGGACAGTGCCGACAGCCTTTTGGACTGGGGGAAGTTGAGATGCGGACGAGCGAGGATGCCCTTACCCGAAGTCCGTCAAATGTCGAAAGGGTGCGGCAGTTCTGAGTGAACCCGAAAGCAATCTTGCCCTGCGAGCCCAGTCGAAGCGCCGTGCCACATCATGCTGCGATTAGCCCTATATAGATGCCATACCCCGCAAGCGCCTGGGTGGCAATCGCCTTCCCTAAACCGATATCCTGTTCACAGGCTGCAAACGTGAATTCTTCGAGTTAACGTTACCTCTTTGTGAACTTCGACAAACATTGGTTGGCTTAGATGCGACGGAGCGTAGCGACAGGAGCCTCGAAGGTTGGTTCTGTGCGACTGTCGTACGACCGATCTGGATCGCAGTGGCGATCCCTTCCATTAGCATCTGCTCTCCAGGTAAAGTTAGTCTGCCTTAACTCAGTGGAGCTTTCAGCCTGACCATGTGCTAATTTTGCCCCACACCTTCCCACACCTTCATTTGCTCAACCGTCAGGCTCCTTAAAACAAGCGCGGCCGCGGCTCCAGGGGTGTGGGCCTGAGCGCGATCGGTGGCTTTAGGGTTCGAGTCGGGTTCTTTAGTGCGTTTTTCCTTCCGTTTTTGCGGTTGCTGTTGTAGGGGCGTTTATTGTGTTTGGAGCTCCCTGTCTTTTCCGGCTGTCTCGGTGCTCTAATGTCCAGTCTTTTGTGACTAGCTGGGCAGCGTCGCGCGTGTTGTCGCTGTTGCTGCGCGATTCATGTACTATTTTGGTCCCCGCTGAACGCGGTGGGCGTTGCCGCGCAGCCAGCGCATGGCTTGGCTGTTTTATCTCTCCTGCAATGTAATGGCCATTGGCAGCGGTCGTTTCTCCGATCCCCTCCCGGGCATGACACTTTGCACTCAGCGCCAGCTACAAGCACTTAAGATCCAGGTCAGGAGAGACAGGAGCACATAGAACTGTATAAGGTTTTTAAATCCCCCAAATCAATTAGGGGAGGCTACCATGAAACCTTCACCCCAGATGGTCAATCCTAATTATTTCTATACCAGGATCAAATCTCAGCTCTCTTGGCCCCCGTGCCTCCCCTCGCACACTAAATCGCAGCACCCAAGCAGGCAGGTTCTTGGGTGCTGCCGTCCATCAAGTCCGGACCGAAATCAAATTCCTCACCTCCCGGTGAGCCTCTGCATCCGGAGTGTCCCCCGTGAAGAAGTGCATGTCGGGATGGGTCCGCAGCACATCTCGTTCTACTTGTACCATAATCTCCGAATCCTGCCCGACAACATGGACCGCGAAAGCAGCAGCAGCAGCAGCGCACACGGGCATACGTGTTTGCTACATTTCATTCCCCCACATTTATTCACGGACAGGACGAATCGGGGCCCTGAAACGGACAGTGAGGAGGGGTGGCGAACATGGGGCCACGCATAGAATGGGAACGGCGCGATTGGTGAAACAGCGCAAAATGAAACCTTGGAAGCCTTTCTGCGCTCGGTGCTAAAAATATCTTGCAGCCTGCTAGCTGTGTGATATTAGGATAGGCGCCAGGCAGGCCGCATCCATCGCAACCCACGTCACCAACACATGCGTCCCTGACCGCGATGCAGCTGTCGACGCTCGCAGCAAGTGGACTTTCAACACGTTGATCGTTTTGTGCTTGCCCACGGCGGGTTGCTGGACACTGCCGAAAATTTCTTACCCCATCCGACCGAAACGCTGCGGCTATGCTAATACTAAGCTAACGACCGTGGCCCCCAGCTGCCTTTACAAGCCTACCAAAAACCAACACTGCAGCATGCCTCGGAGCCCCTCCCCGTTGTCCAGCCTAAACCTAGACGTAAAGAGATCTCCAATGTGAAGAGGTTCCACACCTTGACCTGAAACTCTGCTCCCCGCAGAAAGGGCCTGATCCGTCCATGCCCGTCTTACCTTAAAATACGTGTTCCATTTTGATGTCTGTGAGAGGCACAGCGGGTGGTCCTCTACAGGCTGTGGAAAACAGGCCGGGAGGATAGGGCCTTGAGGAAATGGAACCGCAGCCCGACGGCAAGACGGTAAGGAAAGGAAGAAAGCAAAAGCTAAACAACGGAGCAAGGCGCACGCAAGCTAGGGATCGGACCGGGATGGCGCAAAGGAACGGAAAAAAAGCGAACAGGAAACACGACACAGGGGAGCCATCGCCGTCCAGCACCACTGCCTGGCTGCACGACAGCAGGAAGGCAGGTAGTGGGCGGAATACTTAGCCAAAACCTTTACTGCACTCCACATTGGGGGCGGTAGCCGGGAGGGAGCCCCGCCAGCCGAGCGAATGTTACTGTGCGCGTGCACTGCATGCACATGCTCGGGGCCGAGCGGGACTCCGGGGACTGTCAAAGTGCACACTTCAAAAGGTAACCGCGAACACCATTTCTCCCCCCCCTGCTCTGGCCGCCCTTGGGTAACGCTAGGGTCACCTCACCGCGGGAGTATCAGGCAAGCTGTACGGCGCTGCACCCAAGTTCCGCACATTCACACAAGTTCAACACTTCACGGCTCAGGTTCCAAAAAACACATTCTTCACGCACAGCTCCCCTGATGGTTCCAGATAGTCCTGGGCGACTGGGGCCCCGCGAGGAAGCTTCCCTAGACCTGGCAGCAGCCTCAAGGCCGGTCCACGTCCCCGTCCGAATGGGCAGCTCCCTACCACCACCCCCCATTCAGTTATGGTTGGTCGCGTTTGCGGTAGCGTTTCGGTTTGCTTAGCCCCCAGCACCCACCACGCCACCAGCGCTCCTTGGGCCGTCCAGTGGAGCCAGCGGCCCCGCAGGGGAGCTTGCTGCCCGCGGCGCCGCGTCACCCAAGTCCTCCTCAGCCGGTTCCTCTGTTCGCAAAGCACCGTCACCCCCTGACTGCCGCTTGGGGTCCACTATGAGCTCCTGCAGTCACCATAGCACGTGTAGCCGTTACCGGCGCCGCATATCGCTAGCAGCTCAGTCCGTGCGGGAAGGGAAACGGCCCCCAGCAAAGCAACCTGCCTCAACCGGCGGAGCGCAGGACCGTGTGCGTCCAGGGCGGCAGGGGCCCTGCCCTGCCTCACCAACCCGGCCATCCACCCGCAACACTGCGCCTGTGCGCTATCGTGCATGATACTCCGCCCATTGCAATCCTGCAGACTGACCTCTTTCCATTCGATGTACCCTCCTCCAGCGGAAGCCGTGGCTACGCACCTTGCCTTAACGTGCTTAAGAGATCGCCCTACCTCGCAGAAAACATGGTACGTGGTCCGCTTCTTGGCGAGTTCCTTGCTCCAGTCCTCCGGGGTCAAGGGCAAGTAGCCCAGCAGCAGCTGCCCGGAAAGGAAGGGCCGAAGTCATGAGTGAGGCTTCTGTCTTTGGAAATGATGGGGATGGTGTTTGGCCCATAGTGCAAACCGTAGTGGCGTGCAAATGGGGGAGTCTACCCGCCGGCCCCGGCTGGACGGTATGCAAGCACGCACTAACGTTTGCTATGTCATGTGGCCATCTGGTGTGACTACGCGGGTGTAAGCGCTGGCTTGCAAGGTAAGTCAGATGGAGGGGCCAAGGAAGATGGGTGCATTCAGAAAGGGAGCAGGCGGTGGTGTCCACCCGCCTTCTACGTGTACTTTGCGGGGTCCGCACCTTCCACACGGTAGCCCGAAGATTGCCGCTGTCCGGTATGCCGTTGAATGCCAGTCGTTTGAGATTATCAAGGTTTATACGGGACCCCCTGAGCTCCGTCTTGAAACGGCCAATCCGGGCTTCGATGGTTTGGACTGTTGGCGACGATAAACTGGCAGACGGAGAGAGTACCGTTGAAGGTGGCTCCCGTGTTTCTTGCGCTACGTTACGCTGCCCCTGGATCTCTTGCGCCGTCTGAACTGCAAGCTCCTTGGCGCGGTTCAGCAACCCCTTCGCGTACTCCATGCCGTGGCGGCCTCTAAACACAGGTTTTAGATCATCATCTTTAACCCCCAACGCAGCCCATATAGCAATTATAAAAGTCCTTGAGAAACAGACTAAAAAAGGTGGCCTTGCAGTTGGTGTCGGTAGGGCAACACTTGTACAAATAATGATATGGGGCAATAGGCTAAATGTCAGTCGCTTTTTCCACAGTTACTGAGCATCTATCGTTCAAGTGCGATGGACTTGTGCTGCGCTTGCACCAACGGGTGACAGTTGCATCGCATGCGAAACAGGTGTAAATCCCAGTGATTAACTTGAAAGCTTCAGGACGCACAAAATTTGTCATATGTTTCTTCTATGTCCATGTCCTTTAGACATCATTAGGTTCTGCAGCTGCAACGAAAGACTTCCTTGCCCCGAATGAACCGACGACTGCTAGGTATGCTATATGATTGTTGCTCTTATTATAGTTCTTTTTTGGGTAGCTCATTGTAAAAGTTGCACGGGTGCGTGCGCCCTGGTACAGATCCATTTCAGAGCGTGGAGCTGCCCGAAATTATTGAGGATTACCTTGAACATGGTTCAGCATTGTGTATGTCTTTCAATCGAAGAGGCACACTACTGGCGGGTGAGGCTATCAGCTCGCACTGTATTTTCCCGCGTGTTTCGGTATGGCGCAGCGCGGGCTGACATAGCGCCACGCGACATGCAGCTGGTACAAAGCAAGGACATGTTGTCATCTGGGATTTCGACACACGCGGTGTGGCGGCCGTCCTCCTGGGACACGAGTAAGGCCTCCGGGGGGTTAGCAACCCCGGCCCTAAGCAAAGCACTTTTGAGTCACGCCACGGCGTTGCCATGGCTGCAGAGGAGCCGTCACATCAGTGGCCTGGTCCCGGAACGGCCAAAACATGTTGTCGGGCTCAGAGGACCAGAGCATTATTCTTTGGGACTTGGTAACCTGCTCCAAGGTGCGGCACGACAAAGCCGGCCACACGGTGTTTCCCCCCGGTAATCGCACCTCCGTTCTCTACTTCCATAAACATCCCACCTTCCCATCTGCGGAATAGCCCCGCTTAACGTAAAGCGGTAGCGTTGCTTTTCCGCCATTTATGGCTCACCCGCCAACCCCAGCTTGCCTGCAGCTCAACCTGCTCGCCTGGTGGTAACCCTCCTCGATCCGCGCTTACTCTGCAGATCTGCCAGCTCAGCATGCGATCCCCCATACTGCGGGTGAGTCTGTCCCCACACCCGCCGCACATAGCGGTCGTCAGCCTTACGGAGGGAACCCCCGTGCTGGTGGACTTCACGTCACAGCAGCAGCAGCTGTTGGCCCTGGCGGGTAGGCTGGCCTGGGCTGAAACTGTCTGGGCTAGCCAGTTTTTAAAGAGGGGGACCAGGGACACGGAAACGCGGCTGACCCAAATGGCAGACGATGAGGGGAGGGGCTGGGCTGTGACAAGGGCGACATGCGGGCTGATAGCAGTGTGATGGATAGATTTATGAGGGGGTGGGAGGGGTGAAAGGGGTAGGATGTGGGAAGGGGGAAAGGGCCAGGTAGGTGGGCAGGGTCTGCAGCATTGCCCGAGCAAGTGGCTACTTGAGTCCTATGGCTGCATAGGTGGGTGGACTGGGACGCGCTGAAGGGCGGCTGTATGCTGGCATAACCACTTGGCAGCGACAGAGTCTCCCTTCTGAGGACGAGCGATGAGCGAGTGGTCGCAAGCTGCAAGGCATGGGGGCGCGAAATAAATGAGAGATGCGGCAGGCATCTAACTCACAGTCAGAGCAGCCCTCGGTGTGCGCCTCAATTTGCGACTCGGCCACCTGTTCAACCATCCATCCGATGCACACAAGAAAATGATGTCAGCGAGGATAGCTCCAGAAAACGTTCTTGGACGTGTTCTTTCCTCGCTAGCTCCAGGCTCCAGCTGTTGTGCCGGACGTTGCATGTATTCCGCTGTTCCCTCCTTTCCGCCCTGATACCGCCGCAATCCGGGACCTATCCGGGACCTGCTGTCGGCTGTCCACATCGTGCGGTGGACTGGCCCTGACTCCGACACTCTGACGATCAGGTGATGGTGCGGAGCCGGCCCCTTCACGCGGTGGTGGTGCCGGTGGCGGCGGTACCGGCAATGCCATGCTTGCCATCTTCAACCGGCAGGGTGATATGATTATTGGCAGCCAAATCAGGGGAGCGATTTCGGTGGTGGATGTGGCCAGCCGCAAGATCTTAGATGTTGTAAGGGTGAGACCGGGAAGGGGTCAGCGAGCAGGAGTGGGTGTGTCACATCCCTTTCTTTGACTCGTTTCTGAGCCTTACGATTCTTGTCGAGCTTTCGGATCGTCTGGGTTCGGATCTTTATGGTTCGCGGCTTCGTGAGGGCACACCAATGGGACCAGGGCAGTAGCTATGTGCAGCAGCTCGGATATACCTCCTTGCCCCTAGGATTCATCTAATCATTTGAATTCGGACTTAAGAAATGTGCCGGAAGGAGAGGGCGGGTGAAGATACTGCGCTGTCATAGGAGGAGGAAGCGCAGAACGCCGCAGAACGTGGAGAACATAGCCACATGGAGAAGCAAGGAAGGCGATGAAGCGGGTAACATTCTATTTTTTTTTTTGTGTGTGTTCGCCCGTGTCCCTCCCCACCCCCGGGGTACCCGAAGCTGCCCAACTCAGGCCGAGTGGTGGACCTTGTGTTCAACCGCAAAGGCAACCTGCTATTGGCCACGTGTACTGATCAGCGTGTACGGATGTACGAGATGGCGACCCGCGGATCACTGGCGGACGCCGCCGTACCCACGGAAGCGCAGCTATCTGAGGCACTGGCAAACCGGGTAGGGGGTTGGGGCCGTGGTGAGGGGGGGGCCGAGTAGGATGAACGAGGGCAACGATGACTTGGAATAGGAACACTGGGCTCGTGAGGACGGGGAGAAGGGGGATGGCCCCCAGAATAAGCGCCAGCTCCCGAGGCGAACACAGAATAGCTAAGGAAGTAAATGCGAATCGTCTTTTTCCTTGTATATGAGCGCCGTTGATGACTCTCCAATGATAGCGAATCGGGTGTGTGAACTGGAGGGTTGGGCTGGGGCAGGGAATCCCGCAGGCCATGGACTGACCCCACCGTCAATTTCGAGTCCTTAGAGTCAACGTATGCTCTGTTCCTTCGGGAGGAAGAGTGCGCGCAAACATGGACTACGGGTTACCGTACATGCAAGCTCGCCTCGTAATCTTCCAAACCCAAGTTTTGCGTTTCGATGACTGGCCGTCATGTCGTTTGTCACTACGTTCCCGTCCTTCCTCCTCCTCCTCCTGCGCAGGCCGTAAAGTCGGGATCAGTGCTGCACGGCGAATCGGGGCTACTGCGCCCCGTGCGCGACTTCCAGAACGCCGTGGAGCGCACCCCCTGGCGAAGCGCCACCTTCTCATGCGACAGCGAGCACGTGGCGGGGGCCACTGCTGCCAAGGCTCAGCTGCAGATCTACATCTGGAACCGGCTGCTGGGAAACATGGAACATCTCCTGGAGGGTGCGCTAGAGTTGCCAAAGAGCGACAGTGGTGGGGGTCGGGCTGATTGACTGGGTATAAGAGTTGCGTGGCGTGGAGTGTTTGGGGTCTCGCTGCGGCGTATGGCTGTATGGGCCTGAGACGGGAACTGTCTCCTCCCCCCCTGGGCTCTTTTTCTACACCTACTAGTTTACGTTTTGGCTATAATATTTCTGGCGGCTTAGGTAGGTAGGACTTCCAACTTCTACGCCAATTCTTCATCCCGAGGTTACAGTCGTCATCCCGAGGTTACAGTCGTCACATTCGCCACGGACGCCTTTCGGTCAGTTCTTTCGGTTGCTACTATCTTGCTCTGGCAGCAGCTTAAATCGCGTGTGGTTCGTCTTTCCCCCCTGGGCTCCCATCAGTTGATATTCTTTGTTTCCTGCATATGATGTCTCCCCACCACCGGCTCCCCCAGGTCCCAAGGAGAGCGCGCTGGAACTGGCCTGGCACCCCCTCAGGTCGCTGCTGCTAAGCTGCGCCTCCTCGGGCAGAATCTACATCTGGGCAAAGGTGAGTTCTGTTAACATGGTGGGAGGCCCCGTGGTGCGATTCACAAAGGCGGTGTGGAGGACTAGCATGCTTGAAGCTGGGGTTGAGGGGGAAGGGTTGCCCCGGGGGCCCTCTTGTGCGTGGGGCCTTGCAGGCTTGGCTGCGGCGCAACCCTTCCGTGACCCGGCACGTCGCTCTGTCCTCCCGGCCGGCCTCTGGGTAGCTTCCTGAGGATTGGCTTCCATACGGTTTGGGCGCATGTGCATGGATTCGCGCCTCTTCCACCAGCAAGCACCGCTCGCTGTGAGGAGCAGTCGAAGCACCACCCAGCAGCAGCAGCAGCCGCAGTCACCCTGAGATCCGTTGGCGTGATCAGCTCCCTTGGAAGTGATGAGGAGCCGTCCATCCGTCCGTCCGTCCACATGTTTGGACATCATAACAGCCTTTCTGGGCCCCCCGTCCTTCTCCCTCTCCCTCTCGCCTCCATCCCCGCCTCCATCTCCTCCTCGTTGTCCGGCTACAGCCCCACGCAGAGAACTGGTCCGCATTCGCTCCGGATTTCAAGGAGCTGGACGAGAACACGGAGTACGTGGAGCGGGAGGACGAATTCGACTGGAACACGCCGGTGAGGGTTGGGGAATGAAGAATAACAAGTGGGCATCCAGACAAGCCAACCCTTCGCGGCCACCTTGCATCGGCCATCGGTTTCGTTGCCGCCAGCGCAGCGGCAACGGCACACTCCTCATGCACATTCGTTCGGCTCAACATTAGTTCCTGTCCATCAACGCTGTTTTGCACGTGCGCGGGCAGATGCACATGCACTGGACATGCACCCGTCCCTGCAACGCGACATGTACGGCAGGGTGCTGGCGGTGACCTGGGCCTCCCAGGGGCTGCGGACGGCGGTGGCGGCGGCACAGGCGGCGAGGGCGACCCTGGGTCGGTGGTTCTGGATGTGCTGACTCGGGAGTCGCAACCCGTGTTCAGCAGCGACGACGAGGAGAGCAGCGCCCAGGAGCTCTTGTACCTTCCTGTGGTGAGCAGCTGTAGGCGCGGGGCGATGGTGAAGAGGAATGTGCACGTTTTAAACTACCTACTGACGCCCCTAATCGAAGAGCCCACGTGGGTGGAATGAGGGTGTAATGAAGGGATTTTTTGGGGGGCCATCAAAGCGGTCCGAGGAGGGGGGTTTAGTTTACGTGAAGTGCAGCGGGGTACGGAGGCCTATGCTGTATGGATGTCATCTCCGGGGGGTTGTCTGGTTCACGGCGTAAAGCTGGGAAGAGGGCGGCTGAAGTTGGGGCCTCGACCGCAGTTACGCCTTTGGGGGAGAGGGCAGCTAGCAAGCTGCAACCGTCAGTCGAGACCTAAGGGCCCATGATCCTGGTTTGTTTAAGTGCCTGGCAATTGTTGGATATAGACACCGGGCCTCCAACGAAGGTTTGGCAGCATACCTGAGTTCTTTGTGATATGTCAGTGTATAGGTTTCCACATCCTTTATGTGTGTGGGAGATATTCCGCTGCTGTATCCTCGTGCTTTTCCTTGGCCTTAGATTATCGAGCGCGAGCTGCCGCCCGGGGGCCGGCCAGACGAGGGCGATGGCGAGGTGGAGGGCGATGGGGGCGGTGGTGACACGGGGGAGCAGCCGAGCGGCACGATGGGGCCGACAGCTGCTGGGCCGGAAGGGCCGCAGGCGCAGCAGGCTTTGCTGATGCAGATGCAGCAGCAGATGGGTCGTCTCGCGCAGTTCCCGAGGCGGAACGGCAGCTCGGGGGCGGGCAGGAGTGGAAATGGCAGCAGCGGGGGCGGCGGCGGCGGAGGGCGGGGCGGGCCCGGCGGGCCCCGGGGATCCCGGAGGGACCCTGCTGGTGACGGCGGCGGCGGCGCTGGCCTGGGCTTTGGTGCTGGCGGAGGCGGAGGCGGCGCTGTGAAGCAGGAGCAGGAGGACTGGGGTGTGCCAATGCCAGTGCAAATGTATCAGCAGCCTTCCTTGCAACCGCAACAACAGCAGCAGCAGTACCAGCAGCAGATCTATCAGCAACAACTATTGCAGCAGCAGCAGGACAACCATCCAGAGCTGCAGGATTACCAGGTACAACAGCAACAGTTCCAACAGCAGCAGCAGCAGCAGCTCCAACAGCAGCAGCAGCTCCAACAGCAGCAGCAGTTCCAACAGCAGCAGCAGTTCCAACAGCAGCAGCAGTTCCAACAGCAGCAGCAGCTCCAACAGCAGCAGCAGTTCCAACAGCAGCAGCAGCTCCAACAGCAGCAGCAGCTCCAACAGCAGCAGCAGCTCCAACAGCAGCAGCTCCAACACCAACAGGTTCAACAGCAGCAGCTTCAACAGCAGCAGCTTCAACACCAACAGCTTCAACACCAACAGCTTCAACAACAGCAGCTTCAACAGTACTACCAGGAGCAGCAGCAGCCGGCGTCTGAAGTACCCTGGACGGCTGGCGGCTGCAGAGAGGAGGGAAGAGGAGGGGATGCCGCAGGTGGGTAGCCACACCCGCGATCTGCACTGAGCGGGAATCCAAGGAAATTGCCATCGTCGGACTGTGCATACATGTGCGTGTGTGGATCGTATGCGGAATTGCTGTCCTCAGTTGCGGCGCCTGGGTATGATTCCTTTGTAGTGTAAGCACAGGATATTGAACTAGATGGTGTGTATCCATCGCAATTCGACTAGGACTGGGCTGCCGAGGCGTGGGAGCTTGGATGCGGACAGCGTTGGGCTGTTGCTGCAGTGCATGATAGGTGGACAGCGTAGCCGCTTTGGGTTGCTGCGATGACGGACAGCCGATTGGGGTTTGGGGACGGTGCAAGGCCTTCCCATTGGAGAGGTGATAGGATATGTATGACTACAGCAAGCGTGGCACCATGTGTGTGACGTGGGGCGAAGAGCCGTAAGAAATTAAAAAGCCTATTGATCAGTTTCGCCAGCTAAGTGTTTTGTCAGTGTCCACGGTTTTTCATTATTGTGGTTTTGCACGGGACCGCGCCTGATGCTGTCTGTAGCTGTGGATTGCACGAACACTTCCGCTGAAGTGTTTGGCATGGCCGTCCTCACGACGCCCGCAGAAGACTTCGAGGGCGGATGCGGCTTGCCTGGTGGGCGCAAGCGCAAAGTGCAGTTTGACGAGGACGCACCGGAACGATGAGCAAGACCGATCATGGACCCAAGGCTCATTGAGTTACAAATTGTTCGTGGTTGGTGAAGAAATGGCCCCTGTCTGTTGTTCATTCTGTTGTTCATCCCGTCATTACGTCCAGTACGTCATGGCTCTTAGCGTGCCAGACCCACGCTCCACCGGCTCCACCCCAGCCTATGTGTGTGTATGTATGTGAGCATTAGAAGTGTAGACCGTACACCTGCCTACGTCTGCCGTGGCGGAGGCCCTGTAACGCTGAGCACGTGCTCCAACCGCACTGTTATTGCATATCGGTGTCACCGTCAGGCGCGGACTTGCGCTGCGCTTTTTTGGGCTTGGTCGGCTTGACGTCTACCATGGCCTCCAGCTGCTCTTGGCCATCGGCAGCAGCAGCCCGCTCCAAGGCAGCTCTTCTTTTGGCAAGCTTGCGTTCGCGCTTTGGGTTCCTTGCCTTTAACAAGGCTACCTGTTTTTTATGCTTCTGCAGCACAAACAAACATCTATGAGACTTGCGTAGCGCCAAACAGCTTACAAAGCAATCATGCCTCACCTCTGTCGCTGAGCTCAGCTTCTTCTTCGTGCGAATCTTCTCGCGGCGCACTTTGAGCGCCTTTGACTTGGGCCGATTTATCGTTCCCGGCGGCATTATACAAGTCAGTGAAGTTCTGCCTACTAGACAAACAATCTTGCCGAGTTGTTATAATCGCAAGGTTTTAAGGTTTCCGCCCAAAAGACCCTGTTTGTCCCTGCGACGGTTGGCCTTGCCGTGGGAGCTCCGAATCTCGCTTCGGAGCTAAGTTCCGCTCCCCATTGCCGCATAGACGAACAGTGCTCCCGAGCTGTAATACAGATACCAATAAAAGCATATAATAAAATATATAAGCCATCCAGCAGTTACACCTCACTCTAACCCTCCGAAACGCAATGCTACTCCTCTCTCTTGTCCCCTCTCTTACTATCCCTACGCGCCCCGCGCGCTAACGTCCTTGCCACAGAGCCCAGAATACGCGTCCTCATCTTTTTCACTCCGCCCTCGCCAAGTGCATTATGACAACGACCGCTCGTTTGCATTCTTTCCTTCAAGCGCCTACAGAGGCCGGCTCTCCGGTGGTATCTCCTCTCCAGCAGGAATGAATTTGAGCGCTGCCGCGTTGATGCAGTACCGCTTCCCCGTCGGCGCAGGCCCTGCGCTTGTGCAAGAGAGCAGGGAAAGGAGAAGGCCACGCCAATAAATGTCGATAGTACGATCATGTCGAAAGCGCATAGCAACTCTTATCATTCGCTTGGTGCGATAATAACGACTGGCAGCGTCATGGCTTCTTTATCACGGCCGTACCCTCGGCCCACGTGTATCTTGCCCCGCCAAGTGTCCTGCGCTCCTGCCCGGCCCGGCTACGTGCCCAGCAGGACACGAATGCCAACCATCATGCCACCCGACCACTGTACCTCAGCTCTATTCGTTAGAAACGCCACAACCACACCGCCGGTTGTGGCGTTTCTAAGCACGCCGAAACGCGCGCCGAAACCAAGCTCAACCCAGGCCCAGTCCATCCATTCACCTTCTTTCCCTGAGCGCTACCACCGAACCTAATTGTTACACCCACCATCATCAAATACGTGGCCTAGGTGCGCTCCGCTGCGTGCATCCAGCACCTCGATCCGCGGCATGTAGGGAATGGAGTAGTCCGGCACCTCGATGATGTGATCCGGGTCAAGGGGGGCGAAGAAGGACGGCCAGCCCTGAGCCACAGGCAGCCAAACACACATACATTCCAATTATTTCCAACAGCGCCAAAACTTTTCGGCGTTTCCCCCAGTGACGGGGTAACGGCTGCGCGCACTCAGTTCTTTAGGTTGCACCACACGCAAACACACGGTGTCACATGGCGCCTCCTACGACAATGTGGCCGCGCCGCAGATAAGAGGTTACCGTAACAAGTCCCCAGCGAACCCTCAGCATCGGCCCACAAAGCCCCTGGGGCCGAGCACTCCAACCTACTAGGGCAAAAACGATAGAGCTGCTACTGACCCTGCTGCATTCTCGGTTGCAAGCAAGCCCCTTGCCCGTTCATCCCTTGTCAGGGCCTTCTACATTTCCTGCCTCAAGGTCCTAGCAGCCTCAGGCCTTGCCTAGATAACGAAGTGCCGTTCTGGCGCCATCTCCCAAATCCCGGCTTACATGCGGCTTTCGCAACCCTTTCCCCAAATTAAATTTCCCGTTTCCCCGTTGCCTCCCACCCCACCGTGCCGGAATTGAACTTTGTGTCGCTCGAGAACAGCGGTAAGCCGCCAAGGGCGCTAACGTACACCCCTCGCTGCTTGTTGTCGTGGGAATAACCGTTGACCGTGCTGCCCGTGAAGGCGCGTTCGGTGCCGTGCTCCAGTGTAACGTGCTTTTGGAAGGGAGTAAGGCCTTCGGCAGCGGCACGGCGCTCCTCGTCGCTTAATGGCGTAACGTCGTAGCCGGAGCGGGAGACCTTGCGGGGTGTGTCGGCTGCCAGTGAAAGCACGGTGGCAGAACGAAAACGTACGGCGGCGTAGTCAAAAGGCATCCATCGAAAACATTTGATAAATGAATGTGCCATGGGTGCGGCACTGTAAGGGTTCCTGGAAGCCACTGACTGAGGGGCAAGACACGTTGAGACCATTACTCTGCTTACCATTGCGCGGAGCCCAGCCCTTACTGCTTTTGCTAGACTGCGCGGCCATGGATCCACTGCCATTACCAAAAATAAATCCGAGCAGGCTGGAGGTATGCAAGCGCAGCTGCCTGTGCCTGCTGGTTTGCGTGGCAGGGGTGACGCGTGCACGCGCTGCACCAGATGCTCGCGAGGACAAGCGCAGGGCGCAAGTGGTCCTGCAGTGCATATAAGGACCTTACTTCTTTGTGGAGTCAACAGCGCTTAGCGCGGGCTGTATGTAATAAGACAATTTGTTTAGTTGACATTTCCTTGTTGTTGCCCGCAGCGTACCTGCTGGAGATCATGTCTGGCGCTGAACAATACTCACTGTAGGCACTTGAACTTGCGCCCACGGGTCGGACCGCGTCCACACCGCGCGGCAAGAAGCGAGTCCTGTACGGCAACGAACAACTTAAAAGATTGCAAACGTGCGTGTTCAACCTTTAATGGTTGGGAATGCCCTTGCTTGCCAATTTGACGTTAATGCACTTTCGCACTTTCCTCGGGATTTGCTTTTAAAACTTAAGAGAGATGCCAAAGTGGCGTTGCAGGCCGGATGAAGGCCAACGCAAGTGCGCGCAGCCAAATGAAGAATCAGATGTGGCGGCCTTAGAGCAGAGTCTGAACACCCACGCGAATAATCGTCGACGTCGGGACGTTGGCAACTTACGCCATTGTGCTTCTTGCGGCTGCAGCCTGAAAGCAAGTGGATGGGAGCAGCATGTGAATGGTAAGACTTGTTACACGACGCAAGAAACGGGACGTTGATTATTCGCCGGGCCTTGGTGACTTGCCAACTCTACTGCAGCTTGCCTTTCTCCGTGCTTCTGTGCCTATCTCACCGCATACAGGCATTCGACACCGTCGCAACGAGGCCAGCATAACGCTGATGGGCGAGCCTGGCCATCTGGTTCGCTCCATCTTTGAACGTGACCCGGCAGACGTTTCGGACAACTACATAACCAAAGACCCCGTTGCCCACAGAGTGCAGCAGCTGCGGCAGCTGACGGTTTCAGCCAACCACACCGAAAATGGCGGGGTCCAGCGTCAGCACCCGGAGCCAGCGGCGCTCCGAGCGTACCCAAATCAACACCATGATCAACGAAGCGACGGACGCCGCAGAGGCGTTGGCGCTCGACCCACACATCCGCCAGCGCCGGCAGATGGCCCTGACACTGTAAGCCGAATGCAACAAGAGCCGGAGCGGCGGCGTGCCGCCTCGCCGCCAGGTGGGATAGCCCCACCACGCCGCCGCCGGCCGCACTCAGAGGCGTTTGCGGAGCTCCAAGCGCGTCGTGATCAGCGCTTGCTTCGAAACCCCTTGCCTCTGCCGCCGCCCGCCTCATCATCGTCCAACCCCGAGTCAACCTCCGGCACCGACGACGATTCGGGCTCCGATGACACGAACTCCCGGTCTAGTGCGGCAACATCAAGCTCCGATGGCGGTGCCGACCGCAGCGGCCAACTCAGCTCACTGAGGGGGGACAGCAAGGACGTCCCTGGGCGGCGTTGCTGCTACACGCAGCCAACGCAGCCGTCCCGCTACCCGCCTCATCATCCTGCGTGGCGCCAGCGACAACCGGAGCCAGCCGCCGCTGCCGCTGCCGCTGCTGCGGCTCCCTGGACTCCCGACGCCGCACAGCTGGCTGCACTTGAGGCCGCTGCACGCCGCGAGGCGGTGCACCACACGGGTCTGGGGCCCCTCTACGAGGCGTCGTTGATGCTGTTGGGCGGCGGCGCCCTGCGACGTGGCGTGGGGGAGCTTCAGGAGCGGCTGGGGCGATACCGGCGGCGATTGGAGGTATGGCAGCAGGGGCTGCAGCGAAGGGAGCTACACGGGCGGCCTCCGGCGGCGAAGGGCGAACAGGAGAGGGACGAAGGGAAGGAGGAGAGCAACAGCGGCAACTGCAGCGACGGCAGCAGCGGTGGGAGTGCTGGGATACCGACCGAATCGGAGGAGGAGGAGGAGGAGGTGGTGTTAGGGGCTCGTGAAGGGGGGGCGAGGATGTCGCGGCGGCAACGGCCCCTGCGACGTCCGTACCTCCGTCTGGGCCCGGCGGAGCTGCTACTGCTGTCCATCCATCCGGCTGTAGCAACTGCCCCGGCGAAGAATATGGAGGCCGATACCGGGGCCCCGCCGGCGGCAACGGCGGTGGCGGCTGGCCCAGCGCTCTCCGACGGCTTCCCACGGACTATCCCGGGGCGACAAGGTCATCGGCAATCTCGTCTTCCGCCGCCGCCGCCGCCGCCGCCAGCGTCGCGGCCGCAGCAGCAGAAACAAGACCACGTGATGCGAGAGTCGTTGCGGTGGGATGGAAGGGGTGGTGGCGGTAAGGGCGGGTTATTGCGGCGGCCGCAACCGCCACCGCAGCAACCGTTGCCGCCGCTGCAGCACCTGCTCCTGGAAGTGCCGTTCAAACCGTACGGACGCGAAGCCGCAGCGTACGCGACGGCCATGTGCGTCTTGCTAGCGGCGCTGCGGCGGGCGGGTCGCGAGGGCGGCGGGGGGAGCTGCTTGGAGTCATTTGGGGTTCGGTTCTCCCGCGGGGAGTTCCTGCAGGTGCGTGCACCTGAACTGAACTGGGTTGGGCTGGGCTGGGCTGACGCAAACTTGCAGACCTGAAGTCTGTTGCCTGAAGCTTGTGTTGATGCGACCTTTGTTCGAGATGAACTATGAGGGAATATTGGAACGTGATATTTTAACTAGCGCCTCAATCATCATTGTGCTCGGCTCATCACGCATAACGTCATGTTGGGCTCTGTTGGGTCATCTCGTGATGAGTTCGGTATAAAAGGTCCGTCGTGTATTGCCGTACAGCTATTTTTGCATTCCTGCTGTCCCTGCCTTATCCTGTGTGCCCCTCTTACCACTTTCTGTCCATCATGCCCCGCCCACTGCTGTAACGGGCCTCATGGGGTGTGTGTATGTATGTCTGTGTTTGGGGGGGGATATACACCACACAGGTTTTGGCTCAGGGCGGTGCTGCCCGCATGGGCCCCCTGGAGTCTTTGTGGCAGCTGGCGCCCGCACTCGTGCAGCTGGTACAGGTGTGTGATTTGGGGGAGGGGGAGAGGGAAGGGAAGGGAAGGGGGTGTGCAGCAGGACCTGGGCGTGCTCTGTATAAACCCTAAACCTATCAACCTTCTACCTGCTGCTACTTTTCACTCCATATCCTGGTGGTGGTGGTGCTGCTGGTAGTGACGGGGTTGCGGCAGCAGACTGGCAGCCGAGTGGCAGCGAAAAGCTGAAACCCGTTGCCCTTGGTGGTATCATTGGCTGTTGTTGGCAGGTGTGTCCCGGCTGGCCTGGGGAGCTGCGGCTGTGCTGCCCTCCGGGACTGCTGGATGCGGGCCAGGTGGAGGGCCTGCAGCGGGCGGCAGTGGACCCCCTGCTCCGGAACCAGAGGCGGCTGGCGGTGCTGATGGGGACGCACAGCCGGCTAGGTAAGGCGACTGCAGTAGGTGCTGCTTACGGTGGTCGTTGCGGTGGTCGTGCTGACCTGCAGGAGGGGGAGGAGGAGGACGAGTAGTAGTAGTAGTAGTTGTTGTAGTAGTTGTAGTAGTTGTAGTAGTAGGAGTAGGAGTAGGAGTAGTAGGAGTAGTAGGAGTAGTAGTAGGAGTAGTAGGAGTAGTAGGAGTAGGAGGAGTAGGAGGAGTAGGAGGAGTAGGAGTAGTAGCAGTAGTAGCAGTAGTAGCAGTAGTAGCAGTAGTAGCAGTTGCAGCAGTAGTAGCAGTTGCAGCAGTAGTAGCAGTAGTACCAGTAGTAGCAGTTGCAGCAGTTGCAGCAGTTGCAGCAGTTGCTGCAGTTGCAGTTGCAGTTGCAGTTCCGGGCTGGGGGGTGGTTGTTTGGTCCGGGATGGGGAGGTTGGGAGAGAACCAGAGGACTTGGTCGCATGTAGCGACATGTGGATGACTTGGCCAGACCGATGACATGTTGACCTTGGTGGTAGTGATAGATAGCGGTAGGTTTATTCGGCGGGAAAGGGGAGTGGGAGGGCAGAGGGATGCCGTTGCTGGAATCACCAGCAACGGCGGTTCACCCCTCTTGGCAACAACTAAACAAACGTATACACACACACATACACACACACATGCATGCGGGTTTTCTCTGCACAGCTTTGGCATCGTTGTGAGGAGTAGTCCCAGGCACTCTACCGCGCACACCGCCATCCAACCTCCCACCCAGCTCACAGAGCCCACCGCCCTCTTTCTACTCCTCCTCCTCCTCCTCCTCCTCCTCCTACTACTACTACCACTGCACCGCCCGCCCGGGCCCCCGCAGGCGCCTGCAGTCCCCTGCGGACCCTGCCCTCCGAGGTTCTGGAGCTGGTTCTGGATAAGGCCCTGCCTAGGCGGCCGTGTAGGCTTGTGCTGGGTGTCAACCGGTGGCTACCCGGTCAGAGGGACACCGGACTGAGGAGGCGGAGACGTGGCGACATGGGGTTGCCCCCTGTTGGCGGGGGGGGAGGTGGGGCTGCAGCCGCGCCCGCCGACATCTGGGCAGCTCCGGCGGCGGCGGCGGCGGTTGCTGCACAACAACAGCAACCGCAGCAGCTGCCGCTTGATGTTCGGGTGGCGGCAAGGCACGCGGCTCGGCGCTGAGGACCTCTCGTGGAGTGCAGTTGGGGGTGGGGGGTTTAAGGGCTGCAGTGCCTGGAAGGGGGATTGCAGAGAATGTAGCGGAGGGCCGGGGAATCAGCCGGCAACAGCAACAGAGACAGGAGGTGGAGGAGGAGGAAAGAGGAAGAGGGGTAATGTCGCAGAGCCAGGCGCGGGGATAGACAGGTGGCCGTGGGGGCTGGAGGTGTTTGCGTTTCGCAGTATTTGGCGTTTTCGCCACGTGGCCATGTGGCCGTGTAAGTGTGTGCTAGCTGTTGAGCTTGTGTGCATCTTGGGGAGCAGGCTGTCGCAACGCAGCGTGGGTTCAGGGTCCGTAACGCTCCGCTCCGGGAGCTTGGGGAGCCGCAGCGCGTGCAGCCCTCGCTGGGGATATGCCAATAACGTCCTCTGATGACGTACTCTGTTGCTGGTTGCGCGCCGACGCGGCAGCTGCTACGGCTGCTGCGTTTGGCGGTGTTGTGCGCTTCGTTCGGGAAGTCGATCGCTCAATATACTCCAGAGACCCGGGAGAGAGCGGCCGCTGGACTGCAGCCGCCGCTTTCAGTCGCATCTGCAGGAGGATGTAGCGATGTTGATGATGATGTTGGTGGTCATTGTGACGGCCACCGGTCTCCAGAAGGTGCTGGTGTGTGTGTGTGGGGGGGGATTGCGTGTATGTATGTGTGTATGTGGGGGGGTGGGGGGGTGGGTCACAAGGCGCTGTTGTTGCTGTGGTCGTTGCTCATCGACCCGGCTTCGGGACTGTCGCCGCCAAGTAGGTTGGGAATAGTAGTTAGGTTGTTGGGGGCTAGGTTTTTTCCTCGTTCCGAACGAGTTGTTGAGCTCTTGTGTTTGCATTGTTTGCATAGCTCTGCTTGTACATGGCCCTTGGTACTTCAGGCGAACTGTATGGAGTGCATCACGTCGTTGGTTGGTTGGGGGGCTGCTGGCAGTGGTAAGGAGGGAGGGAGGGAGGTTGGGGGGGGGTATGGAAGGTAACGTTTGTAAGGTGGTGACCCGGGCGACGTGGGAAAGAATCGGCCGCTCGGCAGGTTAAGCCGGCGGTCCATCATGTTTAAGCGGAGCAGGGCTGCCGTACTACAAGGACGGTCATACCTTGAGGAGGCGCATACATACATACAGGGGACGCAGCGCTCCTGTTTTTGGTGCTGAGCAAGGTTGTCGTGCACCTCGTATGGCACCGATGATCCAGGTCCGTCTTTTTATAAAACTTACAGAATTTCATGCACCCTGCCATCTCATACAGATCAGAGCGTACACCGTGTTCAGAAACCTGCACTGCCTGCTCATGTCTCGCCCACAACAACGTACGGAGCCTTACTACCGGAATATTGCGGGGAAAGGAAACCCTTCTTCTCACAGATTGCACTCGCCAACTTCCAACCAAAAAATAAATGATGTCATACTGCCGTACGACATGTACGCATCCTGCCCACCTCGCCTTGATGTGGCGTGAGTGTGGACTGAACTCAAAACAACGCGAGGGGTTTACGTAGTCCCCGTTCCTTTCCGTAACATTTATAATACACCAGTTAAAATATACATCCTAACGCATGCGCGCATAACTTTTACCTGCTATGATAATCGTGACACGCGCAATGCCCCCTGGCGATATCCCCTTGGGAATAACCCCCACGCCAGTGATGTGCCTTCACACACAAGGACGCGCACATTTTAACAGCCCGGCGAGCAGGCTCCCGCGCTGTGGCGCGTGGCAGCTGCTGCTGCTGCTGCTGCTGCCATGTCATACCGAGCGGGCCCATAGCTGAGCGGGCAGTACAGCCCTACTTGGTCACACACATGGGTGAGAGGCTCAACAGCGCGGAGGCGCCACGGCAGAAGGCGATGCGCACGTCACTTCATGTTCAACGTGACCCACGACAACGGCGACGCGGGATATGACGAGCAGGGAACAGTATATTATTGTACGGAGGGACCTGACGCCGGTGGTTAGGTCCGGACTGACCTGGCACACAACACCCGCAAGTGCTCAGGCGGCAGACGTCTAGAGTGAGATATGGCTCGGGGATTGAATGCGAATATGTCCTACGTGGCGCAGAACAAAACGTAGCTTTGCAGTTGACAAGCAACCGTACGATAGTGTACGATTAAGGACCCACTTAGCAGGCCGTACCTTGAGCCATCGAAGCTAAAACGTGGCGTGAGTCAACAACGAGTCCAAAACGACGAAGAAAATTAAGGACGGCTAGATAGGGCTCTGCCATCTGCGCAGGGAAATGAAGTTCAGGTCTGCACACGGCACAATCCTTGCAAAGCTTCGAGCAAAGCATTCGCACAGCTAGTATATACATATACGTCATCAGTCCTAGAGTGATCAATATCTTCAGGAGAGCATTTTTTCGCTTGAGGATGGTGAAATAATCTAGCGTTTCAGCATTTTCAGTGCTCGAAACCTGGGTTCGTGCGAATGGTTGGATGACGCCGCAAAAATTCTCAAGAACGCACATGCAATATGGATGCGGCCCCTCAATCCTGTCCCTGCCGACTATGAACAAAGAACGACCTGCTGTTCCTTACGCTTTTATACTTAACAAGTAAACGTCCATAACACCTGCAGTTCAAGCTTCCATAGAATAAAATCTTAGCAACTGACGGGAACCGTTATATTCGCCGTGCGCTGCTCTTTGCGGAGACAGCCGATGCACCTGCTGCAATGTAGCAAGCCGGTCGAGCAAATACAGCAAAACAAACAAACATGGCAAACCCTAAATAGCAGCAGATACCAAAAGCAACAGATACCAGGTTGCAACTGCTAAGGTTGCAACTGCTACTGTATAGCAGCAACAGTGGACAACATCAGCTCCCCAAACATCAAAGCTTTCAACAATGCCTATGCATGGCCACATGCATTTCCCAGCCCGTACCACCGGCCTCAACCAACAAGTGCAAATCCAAACCAACGAACTAAAAATGTTGAACGCAACGGCCCGAGCCACTACGCCCGGCTATGCGTTGTCGGCGCTGCAGGGTCCTTGCAGACCAGGACCGTGCAGCTGGGCGCGATCTCACGATCTCACCCATAAGCTGCGCGGCACCTCCCCCACATCCACCTCCCTTAAAACCTCCCTTAAAACTTCTTTAGACGATATACCTACATCAGATTCTGCTGCCTAGTCGCGCAAAACCCGCTGTCCCTCGATTTCACGCTGCCCCTACCCACTATGTCCACGGTGTTTCAGTCCTCCCGTGGTTTCGATCCAACCCTTAACCCCTTTTAATCCGCCATCGCTTCATCCTGCCCCGTCCGGGACCCATCCAGCCCAATCGGGGGTCGCCGAGGGGGGTGCCGGTGGTTGGACGTCCCTCCCTTCCCCTTCCCCGCGAATTTCGCCTTGCCGCTACTTTTGCAACCTCTACGACAGTGCGCACGGAAGAGCACCGCGCACATAAATACGTACGTACGGGGCTGCGGCGCCCTGCGTTTCACGGGTCTCAGAACTAAACCCAATCGAACCTCACCTCACCTCACCTCAACAAGCCACCAACACCCGCCGCCATTTTGCCTCACGGCAAGGGTTGCCATATTACTCCCCACACGCCCCAAACAAGGACCTCGGCTTGTCCGTAGCCAATCTGGGAGATACGCAACAAGCAACGGGTTTGGGAGCGGTCAGATCGTGATCGTGGTCGTGATGTCTGTCTGTCTGTCTGTCTGTCTGTCTGTATGCATGCATGTATGCACGTATGTATGCGCTCCGGGTCCTCATATGCCGCAAAAAAAGTAAGGACAAGTCCACCAGGTACACCGGGAAAGTAAAGTCCCCGCGCGCCGGGGATGCAGTCTGATGGATTTCACATCACGGCTAGATCTCAGCATACCGGTAATTCATTCACGGTCTTGGATGCATAGTACCATAGTGACCCACGGGTCGGTTCCCGTGTGCTGATCTATGACCTACCCGGTAGAAGCCGTTGTCGCCCAGATCTTCGCCCCAGGAGCTCTTGAACAGCCAGTATCCCGCCTCGTCGTCCCAACCAATCAGCTGGGCGCAGTGGTAGCCCCGGGAAACTGCGGCCGGGTTGTCACGGTAGATCTCGCGACCGATCCTGAGCAGGCAGGCAGGCAGGCGGGTAGGTGGGCGGGTAGGTGGGCCGAGCCGAGAGGGGGTGGGGGTGGATTGCTGGCTGGGTGGGCATTCTACGATGTCACGCATAGTCATTATTGTTTGAAGGTAGGGAAGAGAAATCGGGAAGATTGCCTGTTTACGACTGACCTGACGCAACCGGGAGGTGGTAGAGAGGACACGGCGAAAAGAGCTCGGTCCCGGCTGTCGGGCCGAGGCGCCCGGGCCTCAAAACTCCTTTGCGCCGCAGCCAGCAAAGCCTTTGTTTCCTTTAATCCCTTTAGAAGGTCTTGCTCTTATACCCGCTGCGGCCCGGGCCATCGCTCCTGACCACCTTCCCCCCCGCCGTTATTGCCGCCGTCGCCGCCGCACGCGCGCACCCAATTTCCCTCTGCCCCTTTTCCCCCTCTGCCCCTTCCCACCTCTTCGTATCCGAGAATTCCCGGAAACACGCCACCGCGCTGCCTGCACTCATGACCAGCTCCTTTGCCGCGCTCACGTTTGCAGCCGCCGCCGAGCCCCACAGCACCTCCCGCACTTCCCACCTCCCCGGATGCGGCCTGCAATCCGTCACCTGCCGACCCGCGCGACACGATCCCGGCCGAGCTGGCGACTCACATTTGCTCGACCCCAAGGTAGGGTTGTACTCCCGACAACAGTCCAAATATACCCCCGACCGCTGCAACGCGGCCAGCGCGTCTGGTACGTTCCAACCGTAGTTGCAGTTTGGGGGGCTGGCGGCTAGTGCCGAGTCGCAGAAGAAAAGGCTGTGCTCGGAGAAGTCTACCCAGGCAGCGCTGATGCGGCGACCAAGCGCGTAAGCCGTCTCCGCGGCAGCGATCACGGCGAAGGATACGCAAGAGTTACAGCTTGCCTGGACAGCGGGGCGCAGGTGCAGGCGACCGGCAGAGCAGCAGATGTGCGGAAAAGTGGAAAATGGGGATCAAGAACGAACAGAAGAACGTGTTACAATACTGAACGTGGCCGACGCGCAGGATTCATAAAACGGCCGATACGGCGGATGACGGGCAACCGCAGTTGGATGGACAATAAAGGAGGTTAAAATATACTCTGCACCCACTACCACTACCACTACCACTACCACTACCACCCACCTGGTTCTTGACTGAGCTTATAATCCGTACATCGCCAGTGAGCTCTTTCATCCTTGAGTCCCACATGGGGGGAAGAGGCGGAGGGAAGAAGTCCGATGATTTACCGGTACTTCCAGCTGGCTCTGACTGAGGCGATCCATCGCCGTCGACAGCCGCCGGCACCGCTGATGGGGGCAACGTAGGCGGCGGACGGGGGCGCACAGGCGGCGGCAGGTCCAGCTTCCGACGGCGCCTCGGGCGCGTGCCGCGCTTCGGTAACGCCGCCTGCAGCACCCCGAGGCCGGAACTCGATATCCGGATCGCTGGGTCAGGTGGTGGTGGCGTTGACGGGGGGAGCTGGGGCACCTGCGGCACCCACGGGCTCTGCGGAACCAGTGGTGTCGTTTGGGATTCATCGTACGGCACCACAGGCGAGCTGTCGTACACCGCATCCCCGGAGCCGTCGCCGACGTCTACCCACGGCGCCCAGTCCGATTGCTGATGTGCGGAGGCGAAGGTGGGAGGACTCAGCTCCGAAAGATGATCCCTTTGCGAGAGGTCCCCTAGCAGCTCTGGCTCCTCTTGTGTCCTGATCTCCGTTTGCCCTTCCGGGACTGCACTTGTCCCGGGGACGGGCGGATGTGCTGGCCACCCCGGTTGCCAACTTTTACCCTGATTCCCGTCCTGGTGCCGCCCCTCACCGTCGTGGGTCAACGGCATAAAGCCTCTCAGAAGCCGGGTGGACTGCGTCGGAGTGGCTGTGCCAGTGGGCTCTTCAACACTGGTGAGAGTTTGGCGTACTGTTACATGCCGCTCTTGTTGCTGGTGCTTTTCCTGTAGCTGTTGCTCCCGTTGCTGCAGCTGCTGCGGCTGATGTTCTTGCTTCTGTCGCCACTCGCTTGGCGGGGTCTGCTGCAGCCTTGGATCCGACACGTGGCCTTGTCGGTGGCGGACGGCATAGAGCCTGACAGCCCGTGTGGCTTTTACATCGTCGCGTAGACCTGGAGATGCAACGGTTGCATCGGACGGCAGAAATGCTGTTGTTGTTGTAGGTGGTGGTGGTGGTAGCAAGCCTGATGCTGTTGCCTGAGGTCCTGGGTTTTGCAGTGACGAAGGCACCGGCGGACTTCCGGTGGTCTGGGGTCTCAAACGGTGTGTATGTGTGCATGTTTGTGTGCATGTGTGCATGTGTGCATATGTGTGTGTGTGTGTGTGTGTGTGTGTGTGTGTGTGTGTGTGTGTGTGTGTGTGTGTGTGTGTGTGTGTGTGTGCATGCATGTATGTGTATATATGAGAGAGAAGGGGAGAAGGATCTATGCAATTGTATGGGGTTGTGTCTATGTGCGCATAGTTGTATCTCGGGATAAGTAGGGGAGGTGCTGGGAAGAAGAGGTGGTGTGGGAAATCGCCCCAGCAGGGTGAGCAACGGAGGCACGCAAAGCAACCATCTGCCCTGCTCTAAATCAATCAGCAGCGTCGTTTCAGTGCGACCTTCGGTTTCCCCAAAACTAAGGAAGGAAGGATGGAGGGCACGCAGCCAGAGCCTGCGAAGCTGTTATTACTCCCAGCTTGCCATAATGCGTACGGGTTTGGGCCAGACGCCATATTCCTCCCTCCTCTGGAAGACCGATTGCAAAATGACGTCCGCTTACCAATTGAATTACATGTTATGGGTTGCAGTTGCCCTCGTGACTCAGCTATCATTTGTGCCAGAGCGAAAAGGATGAGAACGACTGAGCTTGGTTTTCCAGGAAGCCAGCGGCGCATCCTATGAGAGTAGCTACTCTTGAGGTGCCGACAAACTTCGGTAGCTTCTGGAAGATTAACGACAGTAGTTGAGTTTGAGAAGTAAGGTGTGCAAAACAAGTCTTGACCGGTCCAAATGCTAAGGATGTAATCCATCGTTTGTTATAAGGCAAGTCTTAAAGTTCCAAGCTAGAACAAAGTACCGCGGTGAGTAGATACGCGGTCCATTCCATCTGAAGGGAAAATATGAAATGTAGCCGGACCGACAAGCATATATGCCGAATCTCGCTAAATCATTCTTGTGCTGCAACGTCAAAAAGCATAAGACCACTAGTCAAACTGTAAGGCTGTCTACCTACGGCCGCAACAATCGTAAACCGCCCGCCCGTAACCGTACCATACAATTTGCTCTAAGGGAACCGTTGACCAATGAGCGTTTAAAATTCAGATCTGCAATATATCAATCAAACCTATGCAGTAATCAGGTCCACTAGAGTGAGGTGTTTGCGCAGTACTTGCCATACAAGCCTAGTCGCAACCCTTCATACTAGGCTGAACATAAGTTGAATTTGATCTATTATTTTCACAGGAATCTTACCCATAACGCTTAGAGTGGTGCTGTCAAACAAGTATAAAGCAGCCTGTGTCGCCGCGGCTTTGCCACATGATGGAGACTACTCAATGGAAGATTTAAAAAGCTACATTTGGGATTAATATTCAGGATCTGAGATAGGCGGGGGATCCGATGAATCGAATCTGGTACGTAAATACAAAGCTTCGCAGTAGCTTCAGGCCCGTACGTAGGTAGTGGTTGGGACGCCGTGAACGTTGAGGTTACTGCTTCCCAATCGAAAAGGGTTCTCGTCATAGAGATATTTAGTAAAGCAGGTAAGATTGACGTCGGCTGCCAAGGCACCAGGTCACCAACCCCCTATGTCCGCCCGTCGAAGGTTCGCTCGCCAACCAACCAGTACCGAGCTAGGTGCTTAACAACACCGTGTTCCGAAGCTATAATCCACACACTCAAATGGGCACCGTCACCTCATAACTGATTGAACGAACTCAAATGTGTTGGCTGCACTGAAGCAGCGCGCGTGCTCGACGGCTTGAGACGACCGTGCGGGCCGTCCCGCTGCGCCCAGTTGATGCGACAACTTGCATGCTTTATCAACACTCGCATCGAACTGCCATCTCCGCATCTCGCCTTGGGGTTTGTCCTCACAGGTCCCGGTGGTGGCAGCAACTTGGCCAGGACTGCTCGGAAGCCATATAGGAAATCAACACTGAGCGAGGCAGAAGCTACCTCTGGTAGGCGCTAATAATCCGATTACTCTGCCGCTTACCCGCCTACCACTGCCCTAACAGCCCTAACTCCGAAGCCAGACGGCAGAATACAAATTTCTTATTTGTAAAAACCCACAGTAAAAAACCAATTTGCTTTTTGCGATCTTTCAACTCCGCACCATTGCAGCGCACAGCAGAGGCATGGAACTTTGACGCTACCTGTTCATGCTGATCCCCACGTGGTCGGGGCTGCCTGCCCGCTGCTAGGGGCTTCTCAGCAGAGAGTATCTGGATCACGTTCCTACGCCCCCATGTGCAGCTTTAGCCGAGGAAATCCGTCAGGGACCATCACGCAAAAGGAACGAAACGGCGTCTAAATTGCGGAGCCCCGCAAAATGACAGGCCAGGTTGTCAGCCGCAAGGATGTCGTGAAAGGAGATTCATCACGGCATTAACTGTCCGCCTGTACCAGAATCTAAGTGGTTATCCAAGGTGCACGCCCCCTCCCCGCCCCCTTCCCCCCTGGCCAATCTTGGATGTCAGCAGTTTCCTTGACTTTGCCCCTTTTCTCCCACATCTTCCCCCCATTTCTCCCACATCTTCCCCCCATCTCATCCCCCGTCTCCCCCCCACCTCCCCCCATCTCCTCTTCATATACCGCAGCAGCAAACCCCACAACACCATTTTTTGGGGGGCCCCAGCGCGATGCGCCCAGGGGGCCCCCGCCCTGTAGGATTGCCCATGGCCGTGTGGGGTGTGGCCGTGTGTAACGGACCAAACATAATATCTCGCCCATCTGAAACGCGTTATTGTTAATATATTTCATTCTTTATTGCAAGGTATCTCGCCTGTAGCCGACAAAAATTGTATGAGCACAAACATGTTTGGCTGCCTCCATTGATCGAGGTCAAAGTCACATCAACGCCTCTCGGGCTAAATTTAAATCTCCAAAGGTGCCGCGTATCTCAACATTGATTTATGAGATGACGGCGTATGATAACTCGAACACCCAGCTTGCGTGACCATTTGCCCGCACGGGCATTCCGACTTGCCACCAGCAGGCCGACAAATTTGCCTTCATTTCTCTATGAAGTATGCAAGCTGCTCGTTTTTAGAATTACTTTGGCCAATGCTCGGGGCCTCCGAACACTTGCAGTGCGCCGCGATGAAGCTCGCGACTGTGGGGCGGATTGCGGAAGCCGCTGGCGCTTCGGGGATAAACATCACAGACAGCACCAGAAAGTGCCGAGTGCTTTGGGGAAGTGTGCCGAGCTAGGCTTTGAGGGGGGCGCCCGAATAGGCAGGTCAATGCCTGAAGGGGCACTGTAGGCAGTGTGTACGGTGCTGTACGGCGCTGTTTTCCGTGCGTGTTCGAGCTGCGGCACCAGACCGCAAAGCCAACAGGCTGAAGCCTGGCAAGCTGCGATTGTGTCTGCTGAGCGTTGAGCAGCCGGCATGGACCGCGGACTTGGCGGCCGAGCCCCTGCTGTGTGCCAGTAACTGCACCTCGCACTCTTACGTTTACGCCCAAGCAAGGGGCTGTCGGTGGCAGGTCGCTGACCTCCCGACTACGTGTAACGGCCAATGACTCTTAGCCGTGTACCGTCTCTTCAACAGGTTATGAGCCCCGGCTTCCTGCCTCCCGCGCTCTGGCAAGCAAACCTCCCACAGCATCAGCACTGCTGCAACAAGCACAGCTCCCACCACGTTGACACTACCCATCAATTGTCACGCGTGCCGCCATAGCTACCGGCCTGTACGCATGCATGGGGCCCCCGCCCTTTTCCCGGCTTTGAGGAAGCCGACACAGCTTGTCTGTAGCAGGTTTATGGGCTTTTGGCTCGTCTAAGTTTTACATGGCCCGGTCCCGGGCTCTCCATGAAGAGCTCTCACCACCATGTAACATGCAACATGTTGAAGGACCCCCATCGCCACCACTGCCACCACCACTCTCCTAGGACTCCAAGCTCCTCGGGCCGATGTCGGACCTCTCAAGAGGGGTTGGCGGCGCCTGCGGGCGAGGGAAGGGGGTAACAGGAACTGGTGTGTAATTGTGTGTGTGGACGCTACGCGGGAAGAGAGGGAGTAAAAATCCATTTTTGCGGAGGTGGTGGTGATGGTGTAAAGGGGCTTGAATGGGCTCAGCAGGGGCGCAGGTGGGTACGAGCCTTGTTTGACGGTTGGCTTAATTAGCAGTAGTACGGTTGGTGGTGGTGGTGCTGCTGTTGCCAAGATCGCTTAAAAACTGTAAAACGCGCATGCCATTTTCGACTTCATTCTTTTAATTGCAGTACCTCAATCCATATTGTTAGACCTATTTGTAATGCCGCAGTCACTCTGTCGGGAGGCCGTTTGGTGGCTGGAATAGCGCTTTTCCCAGCTGTGGCTGCTGTTCATCCTGTAGGCAGCAGGCAGCTAGACACATGTACCCCGCGCTGACCATCCAAAATTCTCAAAAGCATATCAAAAATTTGAGGCACCGTTCATGACAGGTATCCATGGATAGTGTACATCTAAGGATGCTGCTATTCATGCTTTTAGCATGAACTACTCTAATATTTGATCAGGAGTTAAGGGGGAAACACGTTTTTTTGCAATTGTTACTGCTTACGTTTTTTTGACTGATACTCATTGCGTGATGTCGGAGTAGAGTGTGTGTATGTGTTTACGTACGGCAACGGACAAGCTGGATACACGTCGTCGGCTCCGAGCTCTCCTTAGCTTCGCAGTCTGCAGTTTGCAAGTACTTTTAACCCACCAACTACATTCCCTATTAAGGATCCTTAATTTATTCCCGATTGGCTTACACGTCGGACAAAATGGCAGATCCTCGTTGTAATTAGCAGTAATTAGGCACCGAACGAACAGTGTATGCATTCCGGACGCTAGATCAGAGCGCCGGTCCCGCGGCAACCTGGCCCGGCCCGGACCCCTCTTGTGCCATGAGGCGCTCACCCCACCTAGCCATAATCCACAATGCGTGGGAGAGAAAGGAAACACCCCTTCCATGAGACAAAACTGCGTGTGATGTGTGGCGATGTGAGTGGCGCACTCATTCACTGCGGGTGGGACAGGACGACCAACCTCTGAGCTCTTTCCTATCTTCCCGTTGAGGTGGAGGACGTGGGAGAACAGCTCAGGAAGAGGAAAGGCGGCGCCGCCAGCAGCGGGGGACCTCATTGATTGCTCCAGGGGAGCTCCTCCGCGCTTTCCCCCCTGGGCCCAGCTTCTGCCCCTCCCAGCGCCGACAGGCCACGTGATGGGCCCACCACACACACAAATACAAAAACCAACACCCAGACGGAATGGCAGCAGGTGGATGCACGCGCCCATGGCGCGCAATACCGTAAACTCCCCACCCCACCCCACCCCACCCCACCCTGCGAACCCGCATAAACGCACACACTCGCAGGTAATCGGCCAACATGTTAACAATAGTCCATCTGCATGTCTCTATTGATCGCGAGCTCTCTTATACGCGCGGTGATGATCTCATAGCGCATTACGCCACCCTTAACTTGCCAGTTGGGAGCATTCTGAAGGTATTTGCCAAGCGGCTTGATGCACGGTCGGAGTGTCTGAATACCTTAGGTGACCCCCGCGTTTTCCCCATAGGGATTACCGGAGGCAAGGCTTGTCGCTATAACAAATGGGTGGGAGCGGCCCCGCCTAGGGATGCGCGGCTCGATTGGCTGGAGCACACTAAAGTAGCCATGCCCCCAGCGACTGCATCAAGTGCCCATGCGTTTCCTGTTAGGCTGTTGGGAGTTAGGGGTTAATCGGCCTAATGGGCGTGAGCGCACCGCGCGTACCTGCAGGCTTTGTGACTGTGGAGCGGTTGAAAATACATTGCATGCGTTTGATGAATGCCCCGCTCGCAAGAGCGCACGGGCTAAGTACGATGGTGACCTCGTCTTCAAGGGGCGCAGCATGCGCACCATTATGACTGAGGCGCCACCTCTGGCATTGGCCAGGTACATCTCGGAAATCTGGGAGGCCAGGCACGTCGCGCTGAGGCGATTCGCTCTGAAGCGAACGAGGGATGATGATGATGGCCTCCCGCGTACCCGCATCAATGCCAATACAACGTCCATGGGCCCCCCGGCTTTTACGGACACACCCGCAATTGTGTGCGGAGCTTGTAATTCGTAACTTAAGTATATTGCTTTCCATTCAAAGACGCAATAAAAGGGTCTCGTCGCCCTCCCCGGAGCCGCAGCGGGTCTGCCTCCGAATCGCAACCTATAGACCATACTTGCTGCTGGGACATACGCGAGGTGTGACCACCACCAGCTGCAGAGCGCCCCTGCCGCGCCGCCCTCAGCCAATCACCACGGTAGACTACGCAGAACGGCGGCTCGCAACGGGCCCCCATCACACCCATCAGAAGGCTTGATATCCCTGATGCCGTTGACATTACCGCGACTCAGCTTTGGGTAAACATCCTGCTGCATCCCTCACCCCCGCTGGACATGTCTTAAGTTTAGTGCGGTGGACGAGCGCTGCGGAGATCAATCGCATTCGTCTCTCTTCGGCCATTCAGCATGGCTCGGCGTAACTCCTATTTTGTTATTGTTTGTATTCATTGCTTACATAAGTCGCACGCGTCATGTCGTGTTCTTGATGCTGCCAACCAGCAGAAGACATGCACGGTAGGTCTGACAAGATGCCTGCACGTGGCTGCCTAGCTCTCTGTAATCGCCGCAAACAAGGCGCCAACTTTGCCGAAGATGGCGAAAGGAAGCAGCCCCCTTGTACGACCTCCGCAGTCATTGCACGCCTGTTAAATGGATGAGCTACATTGGGGAATTTGAACGGATCACCAGCAACAGTGGCAACGTCCCGAACACCAAACACGGAGAGGCCAGAAACACCTGACCCGACCCGAAGTACCTGCCGTTCAACATGGCGGTCGAAAATGTAGCCCTACCTCACATCGTTAGTATCGGAGCCTTTCGAGCCGTACCCGTATATGCCACAAGCTACAATGAGGAAGCCGACAGTCATACCTAAGGTGTTTCGACAAGGAGATATTCAATAAGGTGTCGCGAATCACTCTCCAAGAGCACGAGCTCATATCACTGTGTATGCGATGTGGAGTGCCGCATGCCATGCTATGGTGAAGGGTGCGGAACCGCATCTGCACTTGGGAACGCACGCCTATGATCATGGCATCAACTATGCCGTGCAATCCTGTAAATGCATAATCGTGTGTTGGTTAGGGAGCTTGGTCAATGGCCCCTCCACCTTCACTGGACCTCACTTAGTTGACCTCACTTATTTACCGTTTTTGGAACAGGGTTATCCTTGCGAAGGGGACTGTGTTTCACAATGTTCTGTGTTAGGAAATACGTCTTGCAGTGCGTCCTATTTATACTGCCACCAACTGGGGTGCCATGAGTCCTGAGGCTGGGGTCATCTTCCCTTATGCTTATGTGAACAATTCATGAGCTCCGACCACAGCACTCACCAAGCGGCCATGAGCCCTGCATCATTAATATGCCGTGTGCGTCATTACGCCTCTCTCTACCAGCATCCTGCGGTCCACCTCTGATGAGACACCTTCAAGCCATCCCGGAAGTCAACTACTCAATCAACTACTCAAAAACTCCCAGTAAGCCCTGCCGCTTCGGGAATGCTGTACCACATGTTGCCAAGGAAACGACTTTTTGCGTTTCTTCATATGAGCGCATTTTTACATATACATTTGTCGGTATTATACATATTTCCGTGGTTGCGGCAGCCACACTTCCTCGTGGGCGGAGCAGAAGTGCAATGTGCTCGCCGGAGGGGGAGCCCCTTCCCTATGAACTGTGGGTGATATAGTTTGCTGGCGAACATTAGGAAGTAAGGTTGCGCTCATTGGATTTCCCGTGTTGCTTATTTTAATCGTAACCAACAGTATGGACCGCAACGCTCAGAGCTCGGTAGGAAATGTAAAATAACAGCATTTAACAGGATTCACGGCTGTGTACTTTCTTATTCCGTTGCCACATATCCGGAAAGCAGCGTCCCATGCCGTACTAGTCCGCTCTGGGGACGAACATTGCTACGCCAAGGAAAACGTCCCGGGACTATACTAAGTTAGCTACGGAAACCCTATTATATGTTAGAGGAGATTGCACTCATGCAAGGCCGAGGTCCAGCGTTTACTTTGCTTATTGACTACTCGGTCTCGTAACTTCGCATATCCTTCGAACTGCTTTATCTTCTGTCCCAGGGTTCACGCGGCTCTGGCCCATTTCTAGACATTTGCCCCTCCCAGAAGTGGAGGACCTGGGACTGAACCTGCGGCGGCGTTGTATGGCGTCACCTAGGCGCCTTGAGTCCCTTTCCAAGTATGGCTGACGTCTTCAGCACATCCTTTGCCGCGGAGTCGCATACAGCTTGGGCTGCAAGCCAGTACGCATGGGACCCATCGCAACTGCAAGCTTTGCCGCTGGCTGCAAGCCCAGCTTCGGGATCTACTGGAGCTGCTTCAGAGCATCTCTCAGAAGGTGAGATTTTTTGGACTGGTGGCGTGGGGGAGATCCAGCAGACTGGCCTTATCGCTCACGTTTTTGGCAATCCTTCCCTTGCGCTCGTAGGCCCTTGCAGCAGCGCCGGCGCGCAGCGTGACCAGAGCTTAGGACCAGTCCCCGTGGGCTGGCAGGAATCCACACGCGCAGGCGCTGGCGGTGGAAATGCTGGCGGCAAGGAACTGAAGGGCGCTCATACCAGAGCCCCTAAGGGGCCCTTGGTCTGCCAGGTAGGAGCTCATTTTCTGCAGCTTTATTCCATTTGAGGTATTTTCGCGTTCTTGGCTGCTCTTGTGAACATCCCGCCGAGTCGGCATTCTGGGAAACCTGCAGGTTGAAGGCTGCGGTCATGATCTTTCGCTGGAGAAAGGCTATTACCAGCGCTATCGGGTCTGCGAGCCACATATGAAGCTACTGAGCTTGGTGGTGAATGGGAAGGCGTGCCGTTTCTGCCAGCAGGTGCGCCAGTGCCCTTGTTGGCCCAAGCGAGAACCGGCAAGGATTATCTAGTTGATGAACCTGCGAGCCCGTCTTACAGGGCCTGGCTTACCACCACTGGGCTTAAGTACAGTTTCGTGCTCCTCCTTTAGCTCTTGCAGTCAATGCGCTGCATTATCTGGACGCCTCAATAAAGGAAAGCATTCGGTCATGTCTTGTATAGGCGGCGGCAAGATGTGGGCCTTCCTTCCAAGTTAAGGAACTGACGGCTTACGTAGACGTGGTTATCCTATAGCATCTTCCTGCACAAGTTCTGCTTTTCCAAGTATTCAACTCTCTGTCTCAGACTCTGTGTATTGTTTGGGCTCCGGTGTTGGCGCTTTACGTTTCCTTTTGGGCAAAGCTCCATGGACGGCGGCATCCATCCTATAATAATCCTGCGAATACCGCATGACTAGTGCTGTCGCAAGCATGATCGCCCTACCCTATTCCTTTCACAGTGCGGCCGCTTCCAGGAGTTGACGGAATTCGACGGTAACAAGAGGTGAGACCATATGAGGGAAATGCCCAATTGCATTTCCTGGTGCTGAGGTTCTTTGGCACACATGCAGGAGCTGCCGGGCGCGCTTACTGCAGCACAATGCAAGACGCCGAAAGAGAGACCCCCTCGAGACTTCAAGGAAGGATGTATCCGGCTCGCGGAGGAGCAAAACGCATCACCCCTGGTCGGACAGCAGTAACGACGCTGATATGGGTCACGGCAGCGGCGATCTCAGCATCGGCATGAATGATAAGGTCAGCTGGAAAACATGCAGTCGATGAAGGCTCTGGGGCTCAGCTTATTGGCCCTTCTTCAACCTGTCCGTGTGCTCTTCTTGACCGCAGGTCATGACGAATTACAGCGCGGAGAGCGGGGTCGACCAGGGTATTAAGGTTCGGATGGGCGCCGCACCGGTGTCCTCAGGCGGCATGACGACCTGGAACGTCGGCATAAATGGAGCAGTCGAAACGCCAGCAGGTGTCAACCAGTTCCAGGCGATGCTACAGCCGCCGCTGGCGGTCCACATGCACTCAGGAGCAGTCGATGCCGACCTCGCCCGTTGCTTTTCGGGCGGGACCGATGTGGGGGATGCACTAGACGAAATGCTGGACGGCATCCTGAACAGCAAGACGGACTATTTGGAGGACCCGCGCGCAGCTCTGCAGGCTCCCGGAGCTGTTGCACTGCCCATCCTGGGTGGGGCGTTTGGCGCTGCTGGCTCTGGACTTGCGTCGGGTCCGGTGTCTGGCGGCTCTTTGATGTCTGGCCCCGAGGTTAAGCCTCCGCAGCTTGGGATGATGAGCCTGGCCATGAACAGCAGCCCACCGGTCAGCGGCGGTCCTATGGTCGGCACAGGTAGCCTTGCACCCAGCCTACCGACATCGGGCACGTGGCAGCAAGGCTGTATGGGTTTCGATGCCGTGGGTCCAACTGCTGACCTGGCTGCCGCGCTTAACAAGCGCGCTACACAGCAACGCCAGCTCCAGGAGCATCAGCTGCTTCAGCAGCTTCAGCAGCAACAGCTTCAGCAGCAGCAACAGTTGCAGCAACAACAGAAGCTCCAGCAGCAGTTGTTGCTGCAGCAGCAACAACAACAGCAGCAACAGCTGCAGCAACAACTACTGCTTCAACAACAGCAACAGCAGCAACAACAGAAGCAGCAACTGCTTCAGCAACAGCTCCTGCAGCAGCAGCAGTTGAACGGGATGAGCCAGGGCCCCATTAACACCGGCGCGTCTTCATCTGTATTGCCAATGGACACCTTCATGAACAGCAGCTCCTCCGTACTAACCCCTGGCTACGATAATTCCCTGGGCAATGGTGTGCTGGGTCAGCTAAACAGCAACAATGCACCGGGCCGGGGCTTTGGTGGCCATTGGGGCACGGCTAACATGGGGAACACCGTTAGCATGCCTGAGGTCATGAGCGGCAGCATGCAGTTGAATAGCAGCATGGGCCATGCGGCCGTCGGCATGAATGGAATTGCTAGTGGCATGAGCGGTATGGCCAGCGGCATGGCTACCAGCGGTCCTCTCGTGGCCCCCCCGGCCAATGCCGCTACCCCGGCGTCATCCAGCTTCGACCTGGCTCGTCGCCTGGTGGCTAGTGGTGGTGCCGCTGCACAGTATCAGAGCGAGGACCTGCTGGTGCGTGTAAGCATCAAGATTGCAAATTGCACACCGGACCAGCTTCCTGTGGATCTCTACCAGCGCCTCAGAAACCTGCTCAACACGGCCGACGCGTCGCTGGTGCAGGGCTTCTTGCGGCCGGGCTGCACGCATCTTGTGCTGGACGTGCAGGTCGACAGGAGCGCGCGGGGTAATGCTGGCCTGGACGGCTTTGGTGATGACGGCACGGGAAGCGTCACCATTCCGGGCCTGGCTGTGTCTGCAATGGACGTGCGGAAGGTCCTGGGACCGGTAGTGAGCCGCAGCGCGCTGCTGGTTCAGATGGAAAACGAGGTGGCGATGTGGCCGGCGGGTGCACCCATGGGCGCGAAGCCGCATCATAGTGCTTGCGTAGCTGATTTGCAGGCATCGGGGCAGCTGCCCGTTATCCAGCACGTGAGCCCTGCGGCATACATCGACGGGGCAGGCCGTGCAGCGCTGCTCGTCTTCGGTGTGGGGTTGTGCACGCCAGGAGTCGAGCTGTGTGCGCGGATCCAGGGTGGCTACGTACCGCTCACGGTCAAGCGACTGATAGAGGCTGGACAGGTGTCCGTGGCTGCTGCTGCTGACCCCAAAATGGCGGTGGCAACCGCCCGTGCGATGTTGTACGCCAAGGCATTGGAGCGAGCTGGCCGCAAATGTGAAGACATTCTACTGGTGTTTGTGGAGCAGGCTCCGGGAACTGGTCTGCTATTCCTCGAGGCGCAGACGGGTCCCCTGCTTGGGAACTGGAGACCATGTGTGCTCTCAACCGACGCGGTGATTGCAGCCGAGCTTTCGCTTTGTGCAGGCCGGGCGGTGCGGGCCGGAGCAGCTGCTATGGCGTCACTTGAGGCGTTTGTCCTGGATCTTGGACGTGTGTTGGACAAGAGAAGCTACACAACGGTTGTGCCGCGCAGCCAAAGTGCGGTCACAACCGAGGATAGGCTTGCGTGCGTGGACGAAGCTGAGGAGTGTGCTATTGACTTGCCGAAGGCACAGGACAGCGCCGATGATGGGCAGGAATTTAGCGAGGCGACGTTGGCATTGGTGTGCTGCTGTGAGCGGTTGTTGGCAACAGCCACGGACTTCAGTATGGCGCGCGTGAGCACCTTCCTCGCGGGTGCACTGTGGCAATATGGTCAAGATGTGCAGGCGATCCTAGAGGCGCCATACGCTGATGGCCTGGCAATTGTCCATCGTTGCGTGCGCTCCGGCAGCGCGGAGGTTGTCAGCGCGCTGCTCGCCTGGATTGCATTTTCTGGCGCGCGCATCGACCTGGCGAATGTGGGGGCCCTTGGCCTGAGCCCGTTGCATTTAGCTGCCCTGGTGCCGGCAACATGGCCGGTCCTTGCTGCTGTGCCCGCTGCACGCAAGAACTGGCGTTCCGCGCGATCGCCACTCGACGGTGCAACGCCTCTACATCTACAGCAAATGCTTCTGGCGCAGCTGCCTCGGGGTGCGCTGCCGCAAGACCTGGTTGACGCGTTTGCCCCGAAGCCAAGGCCGGTGGCGGTACCAGGGATCGCACAAGGCAGCGGGGCAATTACGGCGATAGAGAACACCCCTTCTGCGGTAAGTACGGGGCAAGGATTTCCTAGTGTGCTGTTACATCCATGCCTGTATGTCAATGGTGCCTGCCTTGCATCTCGCACGCTGGTGTTCTTGCTTCTGACTCTGGTTTGGCTTATCGAGCTTTGAGCCGGTTTGATGCACAACTAATCTTGACTACATGGTGCAGGTACCTGCGGCAGGCTACAGCGGACTGGCCGCTATCGTTTCAGACGGCAACTCCAACGGTGACAAGACTCGGGGCGACTATAGGAGGGCTCGGGGCGCGGTGGTGCTGATGGCCATTATGTTTGTGGTCTCGGTGTTGGGGGCAATGATTCCAAAGCGGCTGTGGGCGCCCAAAGCTTCGGTCAACGGGGAGGCGGTCCCGGGCGCCGCTTCTGCGCAGCGCATTTTCGCAGGCTGCTGCTCCACGATGATGTATGTCAGCCTCCTTGGCTTGGCAATTCAGTTTCTGCCGCTGAACAAGGCCGGGGTACTGTTGTCCCTGTTCAACCCAACGGCGACTTGTCTCGCACCATAAGTGATGATACTCGTCGATGTTGTCTTGTTACTATTACAGCGTATTTGGGCGTGGCTTCAAGATGTCTTAGCATATGAGGTGCACTGCACGGCAAGCGTTTGTGGCGTATATACGAGTCAAGCACTGGAATCGCCCGACTCCCAGAAGGGCCGAACAAGGGTCGCACATGTTTCGAGCCGTGTATCAAAAGGGAGTACGGCGACCCGCTTCCTAATTACTGGCGCAAGTAGCCCGATGATAGCATGGCTGTACTGCCTTATCTGCTGTGCAGGCAACATGCTTGGGCAATATGATGTGGACGCGGAACCACCCCGTCCAACTGAATCGCCTTTATTATTATCAACTAGCGCATGGCACTTGGAGGAGTGGATGGTTGCACGTGGCTGGGGCAAGAGTGTGAGATAACGACATTTCCCCGGATTGTTGTGCATCTTGTATGGGCTTTCCCGCTATCTCTTCCCTGCAGGCTAATGGCTCGTGATCGGTATCGACACGCCGTCCTTGCACCTGTGAGGCGGTTCATTGCTTGTCGCTCATGCGCACTGCCAAATCTCTCCCTGGTGCTGGCCCCTTCACGTAGGTTTCCTACATATAGTTGGCTGGCTGGGTTAACATTAAATATCGCAGGTTGATGCAGCCCGTAACTGGGAGCCCGGGGCCTTACCTAGACGTTTTGCTTAGGCACAGGCTTCGCACTTGGGGGTTGAGAACTTGCTATTTTAGCGCCTGAGCAACAACAGGCCGCATTCCGAATAAAATTATGAGAGCGCGCTGAGAGGTCTCCATTGTGTTTTTCAAGGAACCTATTCCCGCGCTAGCGGAGGGAGGTGATGAGCTGGTTTCCTGAAGGCCTGCTCTCATCGTGACACTTTTTAGGAAAGTGAACGCCGCTGTTCCCCTGGCTGCACCCCTGTATTCTATTCGTATGTTGCTTTCAGGGGTTGATGGACTCGGGCTTTGTTGTTTCATCCACTTGAGAATTCGCTTATGTTGCTTGCATGCTTTAATACTGCGCGTTCTGGGGAGTGTAACCATGCATGTCCGGCAGTGCAGAGAATGCTGTCTGCTTAGGTATTTCGGTTTCTGAGGGCGCGGATGTCCGGCCGCAGACTGCGGTGAACGCCTCGCAAGGGGCGGGACGCACAGTGAGCCCCGTATTGTGCAATGATTTGAAAGCTGGCCCGCTTAGTTAAGCTGACGATTCTTCGTTGGCGTCGATGAGTTGTGGGGGTTTGGTGGTATTGCGGTATTGCATTGTAATCCACACCCCCGGCAATTAATGATGGCATAAACGGGTCTGTGTTATGGACGCTTGTTGTAACGTGCGTATTGTGGTTAGCCGGCGTGTGGATAAGGTCTCTGCGAAGGGAACCTGTAAGGTAGTGCTGACATATAATCATCGGGCATGACTCCTCTCTTGTACCGGTCATGTTTCACGGTGAACGACCTTGTAGCCTTGACCGGATGCGACATGGAACGCCATTAATGTGGGAGCTCAACATTTATATACCGGTAGCCATATGTAGCGTTAGAATGCATTCCGCCAAATTACCGTGCGACTTCACGTCGCGCTATCCAACATCGCCCCATATTCAAACCATGAAGCGGCCGTCACCTAAACTGCGCCCTCATTCACATAAGGCCCCGACCACCGGCAACCGTTTTTTTACCAAACTTCGCCAAACAGACTTACTTGTCGTCTTCTTTATGACAACATGAAGTGCGCGTCTCTGCCGACCAGGCCGAATGAAAATATTTGAACCGGAGCACCCCATAGCCGGAGATGCCCGGCGATGGCAGTTGCTGCCGCGCTTCCGTTGGTTTAACCTGTCTTCTATTATATGTCGATCTACTGCTTTAGCAGTAGAGACAGATAACTTTTACTTGGCTGCCAGAGCCGTGGTGTTGGCCATGGAGAAGCGGAATGGTGCTCCGGTTCGTGAAGCGTGCCGTGATTGCTAACGACCTGCACGACATCGTCCAAACGTTTACGTTTGTTTTACAAAGAGAGACTATTGAACATTAGTTTCATGTGAACTTAATTCGACGTGCGCTTTATCGCAACGGCAGAAAGATGTGTCTTTGCTGGGCCGTGGTCCTTCCGCCGCAAACCTAACCGTTATTAAATGGCTACCGAGGGTCTCAAAGCATGATATTTTAGGGGTTTTCCTAAAACATTATATTCCGATAAAATGCTCAGGACAGGGAAAACTCTGCTTGGGCAAAGGACTTTCACGCAGAAGCAGGTCTATCCTAGACGTGCACATGTCTTGGTGACAGCTGGATTGGGCTTTGGCAAAAAGGACAACGTAAAGGCGTGCCCATGCGGGTCAGGGCAAGACTACCAGGTACTTTTGCACCACGCCGTAAACAAACTCATGCTCCTCACATTTCCATGACGGTCCCAGTGCTATCAAACCATATATAGACACCACCCTGCGTTGTTCTGCTAATCGCGCAGTATGCGTCAGCATGCCCGATTCTGACCCTACCTGCAAACCCCTAATCCTTACCTGTGATACCTCATGCATCTCCCATCCCATCACGTTGGCAGTGGCGCTTACGGCCAGCCACCTGATCTTTAGTTTAGAATCATCGGGCTGATGCGATCGTTATCCTGGTGGCCCCTGCGACTAGAGGTGAAGCGTGCAGAGTGCGGGGGTAGGCAGTCGCCATGGCTGCACGCCCGTTGGGCTGTGCAGCCGCTGCCCCGCGACCACTCGGGTGAGCAGGGCGGAAGGCACAGCCCAGCTTAGCGCGGTACGATCTCACGATCTCATTGCATGGACTACCTGGCGCCCCAAGGGCCGAGTACACCGGCGCTCTGCCACCCTCCTGAGCTCTTTGGGCCCCCCGCAACTCCCCTGCAGCCTGCGCTCTCAGCACCACCCTCCAACAACACCTCCAGGCCACATTGGCGAGCGCCATGGGATCTGCGTTGATGGTCCCCCTCCGTTCCGTCTCCCCATGCCGCCGGTTGGTTCCCCAGGCTTGTTGCCAGCGCTACCACAAAAGCCTCACCGTGCAGGCGCCCACGGCCGAGGCATTGCTGCGGGCCCGCTTCTCCGCGTATGCAAAGGTACGGATAGCATTTGTCGCCCGCCCATGTCCCCGCCCCTAGGGATCAGCGCCCCGCACAGCACAGGGGTCCTCGCTCTGCATGCGCGTGTTGCGAACAGAGCGCCGCCTGATGAGGCTTCGGCCCCCTCTTCCACATGTACAGCGCACTCGGGTGCCTAGGTCTGTCAGCTCAGTCGGCAGTGCAGCACAGCACCCGGCTTGTATGAATGCATCCAGGCCACGGGAAGTCATCTTCGTACACCAGCAGCAGCTATACTCCAATCCAGACCCTGCTGCTCCTGTTGCTATTGCCGGTAATAACGTTGCTGGTACTAATACAGCTGCCATTCCTGCTGCTATTGCTGTTTTGCAACTTCACAGAGGGAGTGGAAGTATGTGGTGCGGACCACCCACCCCGCCAATCCCAACGTGAAGGGCACGGTGTCGGAGGATGGTAAGGTCCGGACGACTTTTGAGGAGGACGTCAAGGTATGGAAGGAGGAAGAAGAGCGGCGGGGGGGCGGGGAACCGCAGCGGGGTTCGAGGAGGAAGAGGAGAGGGGCCTTGATTGGGGCTTTTGGTTGCACAGCGCCGCTCCTACCTTATGCACTCATCTTTCATCTTTCATATCTCCTCTGAGTGTTCTGCCTGTCATCATTTTCAACAGGCCTGTTCTCTCTGTATATGAATATTATATCTCCCTATCTCCTTGCTCCATCCACCCAAATAGCTCCACCGCCGCGATTTCTCTTCACGCAGGTCTCCATGTACAACTGCGACTTCGTACGGCTGCAGGTGCTGGGCCAGGAGCTCGGTGCGAGTCCCAGGGAGGTGATCATCGACTTCCAGCTCGACATTCGCCAGAAATTGGTGCGTGGGTGCGCGCATGTGTGTGTGTGTGTGCGTGCGCGCGCGCGCCGACCGCATAACCTGTGGGCCCATCCCCTTCCCTCCTCCGGGGGCAAGCGGGGGAAACAGCAGAAAGAGAGAAAGGATTCTTGATTCAAATATCTGCCCAATCAACTACCAGCGTGGTAACGGGTGATGGGGGATTAGGGTTCAATTTCTACGGGGACAACGGGAGCCTGAAAGGTGACTATCACATATAAGGAAGGCAGCAGCCGCACAGATTATCCAGTTACGACACACAATAACAACACCGGGCGCATAGCGTTTGTTGAGCGTCTGGTAATCACTGTGCGAGCGCCAGGAGTTTCATATTGCGAACGTGGGATTATTGTTTTGCGTCGTTCGCCTTGGCCGTTGTGACAGTTGTAACAATCTTACTTGAAAGTAAAAAATCCCAGGCAAAGTTGCGTGTGATTATTATGATGTGCAAAATGCAGGAAGAGAGAAATGCCCCACGGCATTGGCTGGTATGAGCATGCGAATGTAGTAAGCTGCCGTCGAGCACACTCTCGCGGCGCCGTGATGCCGTACGCATCGGCGCGAAACCGTGGCGGTCTATCGTGACCGGAAAGAGGCCACAGAACCCCGAGGGGGCCTGTATCCCGCTGTACCCGGCCCCCCTCCATTTCCACAGGACGAGAAGGCACGCAAGCTGGAAAAGCCCCTTCCACGGACCATCCGGGAGAAAGCACTGTTCGTTCTGAGCGACGACGGCGCCTGGGAGTTTTTGCGCGCGGTGGACAGCAACTGGGATCGGGTTAAGCTCGAGTACCGCGGTGTGGAGGGGACGGCACAGCCGGTAGCGGCCTAGGAGGGAGTGCTGAGGCGCCGCCAGGCTCTAACCGTGTAGTGTAGTGGGAGAGGCTGGCGATTGTGAAGGTATCGTGAAGGTTTGGATGGTGCTGGAGTCTGGGCTCCTATCGAGTCCCATCGTTGCGGCCTGAAGGCCCTGGTGTGCCCCTGGTGTGCCGGAGTGTGGTTTGGTTTCCTGGGACAGAGGGCCGGGGCCATGGCAAGGAGGGCGAGGCGTAAGCCGCTGGGAAGTGAGGATTAGTGGATGGCGGCCCCAGCTGCTACATGGGGGCATAGCATAGGTACATGCTTGGGCACCGCCACGCAAAGGTGATATGTGCGTATATCTGCTCGCCAGTCCGTTGAATATTTCATGTGGTGGAGGAAACCCTTGCGGAAGCTCTTTGGATTGAGATCGGCAGTCACATTATTAAGAGCTTTTGATATTTGTTAGTGGGACAGTATTCCTTCTCCCTTGCAATTCTTCCCTTAATTTACAATGCATCTCCTATGACTACGCTCGGTTGGCACCCCGCCTATCCGGGTACCCAAACCGCCTTTCCTCTCCCGCCATCACTCTCCGCAACCCTCCCTAAACAACACGCTACTACTACCACACGTCGCCACGTACATCAGCACCGCCCATCACACCGTACATCGCACAATACAGCGCGGCGATGTGTACAGCGCCCGGACGGTCCCCTCTCACCACAAGCCTGCGTTTTCTTCCTTCTACCGCCGCGCTCGTCCTCGGTGCCTCCGCCTTTCCGACCCCATCACCTATGCGGATGGCCCCAACAAGGAGGAGAACAAGGGGACCAGAACAAGAGCCGCAACTGACACGGATAGTTGGAAGGCCCCCGCATCCATCCACCGATCCAGCTCACAGATTCCGCGGCGCTCCCAAGAGCGGTTATCTCCCTACCCCACCCTACCCCCCAATTGCAATTGCGGCTAACGTGGCCCAGGGAACCCCACCACCCCAACCCGGGCCTCCCTTGTCCGCCTCCTTCCCCCTCCCAAGCCGCGGGTTCTCGCATCCATCCACACGCCGGGGTCGGTATTCCAATTCGCAGTTCACACAGTGGCGTTGCAAGAGCAGCAATAGCACCCAGCCCAGGGCTAGCACAAGTACACAACCAGCCGCCATCAAGCCGCGATGGTAACCCAGCAAGGCAAGCCACCCCAAGCGGTCCGGAGCAAGCCAACCCACTCCTGCACAGGCGGGGCCCCGGCTCCGCAGACCTCCCGACGATCTGCTGCACCTTGCCCTGCCGGTTGTGTCCGCCTCCTCCCTACCCCCCACCCAACCCCCGACGGTGGACTTCCGAGCCCACCGCACCTGGGCCCGGTGCGTGTGTCCATGGCGTTGAGCCAGCCGGAACCCCTGGCGCTTAGAGCGCTCCTGTTTGCCTTCCCGCCCCCGATACTTCCCGGGCCCCTCCCCATTCACTGTCAAGTCTCTCAACATTCTTGAGCCTTCTCCCCCAACTGACAACCGTAGCCGTTTTCACCGTCGCGTTGAAAAAGTCTAAACCGCTAACTCAGCCAGCAATTGCGCCAGGAGGGGGGAAGAGGAAAGTCAGGGACGACTGCACGTTGGCAACACACATACATACACACGCACATACATCCCCGTAGCTTACTGGTGTTTCCCTCAGGCACGAGCACACAAAGATATATACGTACGAACTCACATACACATGCAGACGCGACACTGCCATGGCGCGCGTGTACGACGACACGCCGCTAGGGGCACCCTGAACATTTCCCGATGGGCTATAATTACCCTCACACATTCCATCACGTTTAAGTTGTATCGTATACCGTACTTGCAGTACATCGCCTAGTGGGAACGGAAGCAAGCAGTTAGGACTAGCTGCTACCCACTCCGGGAATGCCCCCGAATCCATACCACCCGCTTCATTCCCCCATCCAAGTTCAGCCCGCCGTAGGGGCTCCGGTTCTCTTCGTATTAACTTCACTCCTCAATAACAGCCCTACCAAGCACTGCATCCCCGCCCCTACCGCTCTAGCGCAACGCAACACAGCCCACAGTCTAGATGTTTATACAAACAGCAGCTCCTCGCATGCAGGGCAGAGCAGGCCTTCAGCGAGTCAGTCGCGCATCCCGCACTGTTTACACCCGGATTTACCGCGGACCCAGACTGGTCAGGAGAGACACAAGTTGTTTGCATACGCAGCGCGATTCCTCCCCCGTCAACAGCCCCCGTGTCTCGTCTGCTTAAGGGGTTGGGGGCAGCCCCCTGTCAGCCACCACCACGGGCATTCCTTTCGCACGTGCACAGCGCACGCGCCTCCTGCAACCCCCTATCGCCCGTCCCACCGCAATGCCACACGCCCCGTGACTCTCACCCTGCCCCGGGCAGTCGCTTCGTCGCCATTTTCATTGCCCACGACACCTCGCGACGACCCACCTGACGCCACCTCCGCTAATGGACCCCGCCACCACCAGCACACTACCATCAGCACCACGATCATATCCCCTCCCCCCGTCTCCCGCTATCTCCTGCACCCGCCCCTGACCATCTCGCTCAGATCACACACGGCGACTCCGGGGACAGTGCCCAGCCCACCCCGGCCAGCCACTCATACTGATTCACAGAACCCCTCCCAGTGCGCTGCGGCTGCTCGGAAACAACTCCCTGCCGAGTCTGAACCCATTCCCCGTCTGAACCCATTCTGCCTCGCATCCGCATCCCGCCGCATGAAGCCATGGCAACCCCTGATCGACCTTCAGCACCCTCGTCACCTCCTTTCGCGGCAACTAGACGCACAAATCCACTTCATTCTGGCGACCGCGGCGACCAACCTCTTCTCCACCCAATCCAAACATCCCACCCCGGCACAAACCCAACCAAGATGTCATATCACAACAGCGCTCTAGCAAAACCGCGCGGGCTTGCTGGTACATTACACTCTTGCAGTGCACATCGCAGCCGCGCAAAACGCTACCACTACGACCACCCATTCAGTCACCCTGAGAACCTCCTTCTCAACCCCGGGGTATGGGGCCGGCCCCGCCCTCCTGCAGCTCGGCTTCTGTCGCAACGGCTGTGTTACTGGCAGACTGAGCCGCTGCAGCGGCCACTGGACCCCGCAGCTAGCGCTACGGCTACACTAGGGCTAATACGGCTGCTGCAGATACGCGGGGGCCCACTGGGAACATGCGGCCCTTTGTGCGTGTGCGGCAACTACAACAGGCCTCCCCCCAACCATCAGGTGTCAGCAGGAAAGGAGAGGAGAGGCTCCGAAACCCGTAAAAAAGCACATGAAGGGGCACGGGGATGAGGAGGACGGGAATACTCCCTGGGGGAGGGCCCCAGGCTTGACGACATCTCCGACCCTCCAGTACCCGCCATGGCGTCTCCCTCCTCGGATGGTAGGCCGGCGCGTCAGGTCAATCAACACCTTACAAAGCTCGGAGGTGGCGATGGACCTGGTGGCATAGAACGGAAGGCCCCTGTTACCGCTCCGCGCACTCCAACTGCAAACGGCGCATCAACGAAGGGCACACAGCGAGGCTGCTGCTGGTGCTGGTGCTGCCATTGCTGTTACTGCCGCCGCCGCTGCCGCTGCTGCCACCACTGCCGCACGTTCACAGCATGTCCATTGGCACGGTGGTGCTGGAGGGGATCGGTGTGTCGCCGTTGGCCTGCGTCGGCCGCGCAGGGTACCAAAAACGGTCGTCGTCATCGCCGGCGGGAAAATGTGGATAAGATGCAACAAGAACACGGACTGCATGTGTCCCGATCAGCGCGGCTTAACAACGCCAGGTAACATATTGTTGCAGTGGGGCCTTGCCCCCGCCTTACACATACATCCTTGGCGATCCAGGGGGCTGCTGTGTGACGAATGAGTCCCTCTCCCCGCGGGGGACACCACCACCACCCCGGGCGGAAAGAGAGGGGCCCGGGACACTCTCCTCCCCCCCCTTTCCGAAGGGCCCCTTCCCCCCTCCACCCGGTGTCACGCTCCTTAGCCACCAACCCCTGGCATCGGCACCTAATGCCCCGGTGCTCGTGCAGCTCTGTAATACAGCCCAACCCAGCCCAGCCTCAGACCAGTCCGCTATAGTGACGGTTACGACAGACGAGCGAATGAGGGTAAAGACGCTGCGTCTAGCTGGGGGCTCGGCCTCGGCGGCTGGACTAGGGAAGGTCTGGCCCCGGGAGAAACCTACGATGGTCCCACCGTCCAGGGGAAATGAGAGAGAGAGAGAGAGAATTATGTGCGACCAAGCCTGGGAAGCAGCATCCGACGTCCGGAGCACCAACTGCTGGCGGGCGAGTCGAGGGAGGGGGGGCGGGGAGATACGCTGCGGGGGAGGCCCCGCGTGCGGCAGTGCGTACTTTACCTTAGCCGCCTTGGGGGGTCGCCCGGGTCCCCGTTTCAGATGCGATGCGGCCGAGGAGGAGGAGGAGGACGGTCCGGCGACGGCCTTGCTAGTGGGCAGCAGCTTCTTAGCGCTGGGCCCGGTACCCGGAGAGCCACCCGCGGCGGCAGCGGCGGTTGACGCGGCGGCGGCAGCCGCAGCCCCAGGACCGCCGCCGCCCGACGGCAACGGCCCGGCGGGCGCCGCCGCGCCGCTTACCGGCGTCCCCGTTGCGGTAGCAGCAGCACCTCCTGTTGCAGCCGCAGCCGTCGGCTGCGGCGCCGGCGGCGACACGGCACCCGCCGCCAGCGGGGGTTGGCCTGCTCCAATGCCAGCTACAGCGCCGGTGGGTAACGGTGAAGCTGCTGTCCCTGAGGTGTTGCCGGTGGACGGTGTCGGTTGGGAGCTTGGCGGGCCAGCAGGTGTTGCCTGGGCCGCGCCCCCCGCCGGCGCTCCCCCTTGCGCGCTGCTGCCGGGCCCCGCACCAGCGGCCGTCTGCGGGGGGCGGCCGTTGCAAGCGCGCGCGCGTGTGTGTGTGATGTGTGTGTACGCACTTTCAAAAAAGACGTATCAACCCGATGAAATGGGGTCAATAAGGCCATGTCACGAAAAACTGATAAGAACCGCGGCACAAAGCGATATGTTTCTCTGTTGGGCGCTACTCGCACACACGTTTCAACACATTGACCACTACACAATATTATGGTAAGAACAGAGGAAGAAAAACACTGCTGTTGAATGCGGGCTTCTTCTTCTTCGGCGCCCAAATTTGCAACGTTCAGGTCTTCCTTGGGCGGTGAATGTTGAGCATGTGTATCGTACGATACACACCCACTGCATGCAGTGCATGTGGCGTGGCGTGAGGTGGCAAGGCTTTAGCCGTGTCCGCTCTCCGAAGCACCCGCACGCGAAGCTTCCGACCGTAGACACGACCCAACGGCAGCAACGCAAAAACACAGCAGCAAAGGCCGCGCCTCTCTCACCTAGGGCGGGCCGCCCCCTCCCTCCCCGCAAAAGCATCCAAGGGCTGGCCCACCCACCCGCTACATCACCAGATCGCACGCACGCACTGAATCACACGGCACAACGTAAGACGCGTAACCTGCACCTCTCCTCCCCCTCATCACGACCCATTCATCTACGCGAAAGTTCCTCCACGCTGCCCTCAATCCCCTTCCGGTCTTTCCCAAGCCGTGGGGGCGGACCGGAGCATGGAGCGGGCATGCCTGCGCGTGTGAAGACAGCTCTGGTGCTGGATGCAGCTCACGGAGGGCCCCCCTTCTTCAGCGCGGACCTACCCCCTGTTTAGAGGCCGGCAATGTGGCCGCGGTGGCCGCGCCAGCTGCTGATGCGGCCGCCGAGCCGGACGGCGTTGCAGCCCCTGCCGCGGCCCCAGCTGGCGCTGGCGAGGCCGCCACCTTCGGCACCTTACGCGCCTGCCCTCCCAAGCTGCCCGGGGCAGCCGACGGTTGCAGTGGCGCAGAAACAGGTGGTGCAGCTCCACCGGCGGCTCCGCCGCCGCTACCACCGCCTCCGGAAGTGCCAGCCTGGCCCGACACCGCTGGTTGGGCTGGCGGCGGCGGCTGTGGTGCCGCCGCCGCCGCGGCCGGCGGCGGTGTCGTTCCCGCCGGCGGTGCCTGTGGCAGCGTGCCACCGGTCCCCCCTTGGGGCACGTGAGGCAGCGTGCCCGCAGGAGCACCCTGGCTAGGTACGGCAGGTGGAGGCGGCGGCGGCCTTTGCGTTAAGGCGGGTGCCGCCGCTGGGGCTGCAGCTGTGGTAGCGGCGGGTGCCGCTAGCGGCGGCGGCAGTGGAGCCGCCGCCGCAGCTGCGAGGGGTCCCGCTGCCGGCACGGCCGCCGCGGCTGCCGCCGCCGCTGCTGCCGCCGCGCCCGCAACACTAGCTGCGCCCACCATGCCTCCTGCTGCCTGCTGCTGAAGCGTCTGCTGCGTTTGCCGCAGCATGGCTGCGTTCAAGCGGTCAGCATTGAGCCGTCGTTCCCGCTGCGCGCGCAGAGCCGCCTTGTCAGCGATGCCTTCCGGCAGCAAGTCCAAGTCCAGCGTCGCGGCCCAGGGCACGCTGGGCAGCTGCGCGGATAGCAGCAGCGGGTGTCGCGCCGCCAGGCCCACAGGAATCGCCAGGTCTACGATCCCTGACGGCGGTTGATGTTGCGGGGAGTGCGGCCGCAGGGTCAGCGGGTCACATCGCGTCAAAAGGGTCCGACCACATCGAGACACCCGGGGACGGACACAGCGGAGATCCAGACCCGGCGGCAGCGCCAGGACAGGGGGCTTGCCGCCGCCGCCGCCGCCTCCGTTGGCGGCGGCGGCGGCCGCCGGCGAGCTCGGCGGCGGTGGCTGCGCTGCCACTGCACCCCCCGCGGATCCTGACCCTGCCTGTTGCTGCTGCTGCTGCTGTTGTTGTTGTTGTTGCCCAAGCAACTTGGCGAAGTCGGGCGTGAAGAGGATGAGCATTTCGTCGTCGGCCGGCAGCGGTGGCGGCGGCACGCGGGCTACTGCCTCCCCATTGACGCAGCCCTCCATCTCTTGTCGCCTCCGTTTGCGCAGCAGTGCCCGGCGCAGGGGGGAGTCATAGCTGGTGACTGCGTTGCACCCTCCCAGCGAGCTCGCCGAGTCCAGGTAGGCCCGCAGTCTGGTTGATAGGGGGGCCGGTGCGGGGGACAAAAGAGGGGATGAACCGAGGGTGATGCAAGACGCAAAGAGTCCAGTACTGCACAAACACCACCTCACAGCTTCGCCAGCTCCGGCGTTTCCCCCATCGCGGCGCGAAGATCACTAAAACCACCTCACAGCATCAAGGCTCAACTTTCTTTGGTTTCTGTAATACCTCTGTACTTAGGTTCTCCTCCAGTGCCTTTTCCGTACTTAGGGTCCCCCCCACCTGCTTTCCCCTTGCTGGCTCCGCGCCATGGTCTCCTGCAGCTGCGCCGCCCCCTCCGCCTCGATGGCCTCCAACTGGTGCCGCGGCTGGTGGTGGCGAGCGACCTGGTAGCGCTGCATGTCCACCTCCAGCCGCTGCGCGGGGGCAGAGGGGGAGAGGATCGTCGTAAGGAAAGGAAACAAGAGCGGGGGATGCGGGACAGAAGCGCGCGCGCGGGCGGGCGTGTGTGTGTGAAATCTGCAGAGAAATACATGACGGAAGAGGTACACATGGGTAATGAAAAAAGCTGACAATTTAGCAAATGGACGTAATACGTGCATCTCTGTATGTAACTGTAACTGTAACTGCATCTCCAACCGCCAACCCCCCCCCTCGTGCCTCCGAAACCAAACCGGCTTCCCCACGCGCCTGGGCACCCCCCCTTCCCCCTCACGTGTATATCACGCTTGCGCGCTTCCCGGAATGTGAGCAGCTCCGTCATCTCCAGAGACTGCGGGGCGACGTGGGCAGTAATGACGTCATGATGAAGATGATGGGGCGGGGGTTGGGGAAATAAATACACACACGTAACGACGATGTGGAAACCAGTCAAAATGTTTTCATAAACAGGGACGAGTGGAACCCCCTCATCGCGGGGCCATGCGGGCCAGTACCGTTGTACCGGCGTCAAGAAGTCAGCTCGGACCGCCAACCGCGGTGGGGGGCTGGGAGGGGGCGGGTGAGGGTAAGAACGAGACGAGAGAGAGACATCATTGGCTGCTGCTGCTGCTGCTGCTGCGCAATGCGGAAGCGCCGTGATGGGCTCAGCAGGAGGGTATCACACCAGTACAGAAATCCGCGAGGCGCCCGCGACAAGCCCGCGCACTTCACCCCGCCCGATTCCCGCCTCCCCCCTCCCCCAACCCCACTACTCAAAAAAGGTGGTGCGCCGTTCCGACACGGGAGATGCGCCTTTGGACTTCACCAGATCGCCCTTGAGCTTTGGCCCCCTAGACCCGACCCGCAGGGCCCTCGTCCTTCTCCCCCATCGCTCTCTCACGGGAAACAACTCCAGGGGGGTGGGGCGGGGCGTCGCTACGGTACGGCATTCCACGGATGTGCCCCCACACCCCAACTCCAACCCCCTCGTATGTCAACTCCACCACTCCCTCACCCTTCCAGCACGTCTGCCCCGGGCCCTAAATCGCAGCGCTGAGCTCCAGGTCCCCCCCCCCCCACACACCCACACACCTTGAGCATGCTTTCGCGTATCTGGCGCATCTTGTCCAGACAGTCCTGAGTGTTTTCTCGTCGCCGGCGGGTTTGAGGCCGGTTGACTCGTTCGCGAGGCCTGGGGGCAGTCGGGAGGAGGGAAGAAGAGAGGAGGGAAGGGGGAGTTGTACACAGAATGCAGTCGGAGAGAAGGGGGTAAGGTGGAAGAGGATAGTGGTGCTTGGTAGAGGTGCTTGGTGGGAGCTCCTTATGCAAGAATGGCTCGTAGGAATTCGCAAAGGCAAAGGGTTGCAAGGCAAGGGCGCTTGTGAAAGAGGCGGCCGCGGAAGTCAAAGCAAAAACGGCAAAGGCAGCCCCTCTTTTCCCGACCTCTGCCCACCTCCCCCATCCCGAACCAAGGGCTCTGGCCTCCCTCTGTCCACACTCACCACACTCCCCCGCCCTCCCCCCCCGATACCTGAACACGTTGTACGGATTCGTGTCGCTGGGGTTGGTCGGCGCCTGTCGGGACGGGCACGTAACAGCAGCAGCAGCAGCGGATGCAAGGGCGGCAACAGGAGCAGCGAATCAACCGAATGAAACCGAACCCAACAGAACTAACCGCGTAAACAGGCCAGGCTCTGCTGGGCCTTATGTGGGCCTCAGCTGGACCTGTCGGCCAGTACTGCTCACTCACCCACCTGTAACCGCCGCATGATGGGCCTGTTCAAGCGCTCGCGTTTGCCTCGCCAGTAGTCATACACGGCATGCAGGATGGGGTCTCGCGCGCAGGCGTACTTCCGCATCACCGACAGCGCCTCATCCCGGCTCATGTTGCTGGTGGCGGCCACCGCAGCGGGCAACATGCGCCAATCCTGCGCACCGGAGCCTGCAGGAGTGGGGCAGGGCAGACGGAGGTTACATGCAAGCATCAAAAGAGGCGCTTGGGCGACGGCGGTTCAGAGTAGGAGGCGGGTGCTAGCGGAAGAGTCACAGCGGTGGTGGACTAGGCTGCTGCTGGACGGCTAGTGGACGGCTAGTGGTCGCGAACGTGGTAGATCCAGGGAGGGAGGGAAGGAAGGAAGCTCCGCCATGGACAAGGGACCCATACTGACCTCTGCTGCCGTCCCCACCCCCATCGCCATCGCGACCGTGGGCCCTGACCCCCACCCCCCACCCCCCTACCCTTGGACACTGACAGCAGTCCACTTCCCACTTTCTCGCATATGATTAACCCCTACCTTGCCGGACCCATCTCCACCCTCCCTTGGAGCAGGAGCAGGTGGCACAGCAGCACATCCGCCTCCCCCTCCAAAAACACCCCCCACACACCCCCTTGGTTAGTTAGCAACCAAAGACAGGCCTCCCAAAAGCCTCCATGTTCGCTCCTAACCCCTAACCCTTGAACATCCGTCTCCACAATAATCCCCGGGAGCCCGATCACGGCCACCATTGGCCGCCATCCCTCGTGCATTTCTGTACCGCCGTAACACTCGGGGTTCCCGGCGGCGGCGGCGGCATGTGCACACATGCGCTTCCATGTCCATCCGCCCCCCTTCCCCCCCCCATGAATGCACTGCGGCCTGCGTCTTTGGTATCTGCCCCATTCGCCAGTGGTTCGTCTTATTTCCCCCCCCCTCGGTGTCCCCTTCGGCCCCCGCGAGGACCATGGTCCCCGCGCCGCCGCCTCCACGACCACCCCACCCGGCCTGCCCTCACCCACCCGCTTCACTCATGACCCTCTGATTGGCCTCGGCGTTCGCCGTCTCCAGCCGCCACAGCATGTGTTCGAACTTCTCCTCGGACAGCCGATTGGCGGCCCCCGCATTGAATGCCTCCAGCCAGTCTTCGTCCTCGTTATCGAGGTCGTACTCGCAATAGTCCTCCCGCGCCCAGCCCACGCCACCTGTGCCGGTGCGGTGCGGTATGGTATGGTATGATGCGGGGGGTTCTCAGTGTGCGAGTGAGTAGTAGGGGTATGAGCGTATAAGTATGCGCGTAGTGTGTGTGAGGGTGTCTGTCTATTTTGTACGGCACCGGACATGCGCTGCGCTGCTGTGCACGACAAACAGAAAAAACACGAGCAGTGTGGGAGTGCTGATGCAGGAGGACCAAAGCCAAACGCAGGGTTTCGGTCATTGGGTGACTGACAAACCGATGGGGCATCAGCCCCGAGTAGGGATAGGGGAGTGATAGGGATAGAGATGGGGTGAGGGTGTGAATGGGATGGGATGGACTCGGGTAGTGGTGGCGGCATCTTGGCTGGGGGATTTGCGCGCGAGTTTGTGAGCGAGAGGAAGTCCTCGAGGGCGGTAGGAGGTTGCGGCGAACAGGGTATGAAGAAGGTGTGGTGGGAAGGGATGTTGGTGGTGGGAAGGGGTGTTGGCGTTTGCATCGCGCGACGGCCTTACGAGGAGGATGAGTGTGGGGCGGGGGTATTCTGCGCACGCGGTGTGCGACCGGGTTGCATAACGCAGCTGGGAAGCCACTCACCTTTGCCACGGATGTAGGTTTCAGGTATTCGGAAAAGGGGTAAGTACTCGCGGGTGTACCCGGGCACTATGCGGACCTCCGGCACGGGAATCTCCTTGACCTCTTTCTTCTTCTTCTGTGAGCCCGCCGGGGGCTGTGGGCAGGAAACAAGAGCATGGCATTCAAATTCTCGACATTAGTTCCCGGCAAGCGGGCGGGGAGGCTTTGGGGGGAAGGTTTAGATGTGCCCGGTGCGACACATGTGCGTGGGTCAACTACCCGCCGACATGATGGCGCGAAGTGAGTCAACCAGCTGTCTTTCTTGAAACGAAGCACCGCTGTTTTAGGCATAAAATACTAGTAGAATTGGTGTATGCAGTCGTGCTTATTTCATTGCGAGGTTTGCGTCAACAGGTCCAAGCGGCTATCGATCTGGTTGAAGCCTTGACTGACCTGCTCAAAAGCCGCCGCGGGGGCCTGAGTCTGAGCTGCATCAAGGTCATCTGTTTTGTCTAGCTCAGCAACGTCCCGGACGATGTTAAGCTGACGCAATATGTCAACGGGTCTTGGTCTGATAGAAGTCCTCGTTGCCATTTTCCCTGAAAAGCTGGTGCGCCATGCGCTGGCCAATCGAGGTTCCTAGACGACCTAGCTGGTTCTCTGGGAATCCAGGCAGGAAGGGCACAGAAAGAAAATCGGTACGGGACGGCCAGCAAAGTCTTGCTGTACGCACCTGTTCTCGCTCGAAGCACCCTAAATGAGCCCCATTTATTTATCTTTATATGACTGTGCCATGTGTGAACAAGAATGCTGCGCTTTCGAGTGTTTTGCTTTTTGATGGATGCCAAAAAGCGTTTTGCCGTTGCATACAAGCATGAGAGATCTTAATGGTGTTACAGATGACCTTGGAGCAGCCACACCGTCGCGAAGCGCACCTAAACCAAGGCTCCACCCCCGCAGACCCCGGGGTCTGTCCACTCCACCTTACACACATGATGCCAATTCAGGCCACAGCAAAAGCAGCATTAAAAGCTTCTAGTTAAAGCCAAGGCCATATTGTCGCCATGAGGCGCTAGCGCCGGGGTGCGTAAATCCCCGAAAGAATCAAACCCACAACACGATGCGTTTCCTTCCCTCGTCCTGTGTTGTTACATCAGCTTCCCACATCCCCATTCGTACACCTGCCCCTCGCACTCCACAAGGCACATCACAGCCTAGCCAAGAAAACCATTTAGCCTTCTCTGCGCCGGAGTAGAGCTTGGCGGTAGAGACTAAAGACAGGTCGCAACAACAACAGCGTGTGCACAGTGTGAAATCGGACCGCTTTTCGCTTCTCCCACCCCAACCCCTCAACCCTACACCCTTCTGCGCCGCCTCAACGCCCTGGTTTTCCACCCTTTCGAAAACACATACCGACCACCAGGATAGCACCGACCGAGGAGGCGCAAAAATGCCTTCGAGGACACCGCCGTGCAGGGCCAAGGACCATACAGAAGCCCCCCTCCCCTTCGTCCGTCCCTCGCACATCGTGCCATAGCCCCCAAAACCCACCCACTACCCACCCGACCCCGAAATCAACTCCCACAGCCCCTCGCCTCCGTCAACATCCAGCATTAAAAGCGCTCGCTTGGGCCTTCCGTACACACATGCGCACCCACGACGCCATGTATCCCCCCCATTCCCTCCATTTCTCACCATGGCCTCATACCCTTTTCCCCCGCCTCCCCCCCTGCCCGATCCTTTCCCGCTCCACATAGTCCATGACAAGAAGCCTCACTGAAATCCATTTATTCTCAACGAAAGCACAGTTCCATGCATCCAGACAATATTCCCCCGTTTCCGTACCATGCTCGTACACCACTTTCAACAACCCTCACTGCACAAACCCCCACATCCCCTCCGACTTCCCCCACCCCTCCCGAACACACCCTCCGGCCATCATCATCATCATCACCACCACCACCACCACCACCGCCACCACCACCGCCGTCGCTACTAGTACTCCCCCGCCCGGCGCTTCCAGTCCGCAATCGTCAACACGCTCTTGCCAGCCAAATCCTGCGCATGCGCTGCCAGCGCCGCGGCCCGCCACCGAGGGGGGAGCACCCGCAGCTGCAGACTAGGGACAACTGCCGCCGTCCGCAGCAAGGTCAAATCCACATCCAAGTCCAAATGTCGAATCAGGTCAGCCGGGTCCATCCGTTGTTGGGCGCGAGTCAGCTTGTCGGGCAGGGAGGCCTGCGCGCGTGCAGCCGCTGCAGCGCCCGCAGACGGCCTGTCACCTCCGCCGCTACTGCCGTCGCGGCCTCGAGCGCCCTTGGTGTTCCAGTAGATGTTGAGGGTGGTGGCACGGCGGGAGAAGACGTCGGCACCGCCGCTGCCGTCGTTGCCGCCTGGGGTATGTATGTGTGGCAGTTGGCCGCGGGGGCAGTTGGTTGCCAGTTGGACATAACAAACACGCCTCCCTGCTCCCCCACTGCGCGCCGCCGACACCCCACCACCCCAAACACCCCCCTATGCACCTTTCCCGCTTCCCCACCCCTTCACCCCACCCCTTCATTCCCCCCTAAAACACCTTTACGTTTTCCAAACCCCCCATTCCCCACCCCGCCCACCGTGCTCCTCTGCTGCGCTTGTCTTGTACGCCACTGTCAGGTTGTGTTGCTTGTTCCGCTTGTTGAGGTCCATCATGCCAAACGCCCGCTTGTTGTTGTTCTGGTTGAGCAGGTGCGACTCCAGGGAGGACAGCTGCTCCTCCAAACTGCGTGTCAAAAGTAGAGAGCGAGCGGAGAGAGGGAGAAGAAAGTGGAGCTTCAGGAGGTAAGGGAGCGGGGAAGTGAGTCCAAGGCGGGAATTGTTTCTCATTATACGTAACACGAGAGCAAGATGGCTGGGTAGGGGGTGGTCGAGCCGTTGTTGGGTGCCTCCGTTTATGGCGGGTACAAGGAACCGAGTCCACTATATGAAAACAAGCTCACACACAACATATATATACCCCCGCCCCCATTCCGTCGCGGGGCCCTCCCCCTCCGACACTCACACAGCCACCTCGTCCATGTTACCCGCAGCAGCCGCAAGCTCCATGCGGCGTTTCAACATGGCTTTCTCAGCCGCAGGGTTGACGGGGGCAGCTCGGGAGGCCCTCTTGCGCTCCAGCTCCAACTTCAGGTCGGCGGAAGTCCAACGGTAACTGAAAAACGGTCGAGTGGGACGGGCAGTTGCACGCACGGTGGGGGCGGGGGAGGGAAACTGATGATCTCAAAACGCGGCGAAAGGGAAGGAAAGGACGGAAACCCAACGAAAATGGAAAAAACCGAAGCAGATCTTCCCCCCAGTACAGGGCTCAGAAGGAGGGGGAGGAGGAGGAGCGTGAGGAGACCTCGGGTGAAGTGATACACATGCAGGGTCAAGGAACTTTATCTGCCGACGTCCAGAGCCACCTTGGGACTTATATACGTAACAGCATGAGGACTCCAGGGGGGGTTTCCAAGCAACATCGTCAGGATTGAACAGGAGGAGGTGGGTAGTGAGATCTCGAGTTTCATGACTTCCCCTCTTGACTTGTCACTTCACCCCTCCCCCCCTTCCTCCTCCTCCTCCTCCTCCCCTCCTCCTCCTGCTGCCCCTCGGGGTCCTCCAACTTACTTGGTCGCTGCCTCCACCTTCCTTGCCGCCGCGGCCGCCTCCTCCCGGGTGATGGGCGCTCTGCTGGCCCGACCACAGTGCCGCTTGTACCGCTCGTACTCGGCCTCGTCAAACTGGAGGGAAAGAGCACAAAATATACAGCAATATACAGCAACAGAAGTAGCAGCAGCAACCAGCAACAAGTAAGAACGCGGAGCATCAGAAAAGAAGCCCCATTAATTAATTAATATGTTGCCGCGTTGTAAAGGACGCGATCGTGTGTGTCTGTGTGTCTGTGTCTGGTGGACTGCAGAAAAAGAAACGACAAAACGCTCATGCGTCCAAGATATATGTATCATGTACGTACGTACGTACGTATACATGAATCACAGAGACACGCGCATGCACACACACACACACACACACACACACAGAGACACGCGCATGCACACGCGTCCTCCTGCTCACCGGCTTGCTGGACACATTCGCCATGGCCATGACTCGGGTGATCCCCAGGCCGTCCCTCAGTGCCAGGTGCTTGTGGGTGATCTCGCCCCGGGACCCGAATGAGTAGCCACGACCCGACTCCCGAATATCAGTGATCTGGCAGTTGGCAGTTGGTGGTTGGTAAGCGATAAGCATGGCGTTGCGGTGGCGGCGAGAGGGGAAATTGCGTTGACCCCCAGCAGGACCAGGCCCCCTCTCTTATGGTTACGGTTGCGGAGGGCCTTATGAACCCGGTACTTCGGTTGTGCAGGGCGGGGAGGGGCCCTCCTGTCCTGTGCTGTTTGTGCACATAGCCATTCAGTGGCTGAACAGCCGAGCAGCTTCCGTGGCCTCTACCTTGCACCTACCGCACATCGCACGTACGAGGTACGACGGCGCCGAGGCACGCAACACTAAGTGACTGCATTGCGCTGTGCGCACCCACCCCTTTCCTTGTTTTACGTGATGTTGGGGCCCCAGTTTCCCCAGCCCTAAGTGGGAATACATACGCCTTGTGCAGTTGGTTAGTTACTGCCATAGTCACACGGTTTTTAAATATAGCACTGTGAAAAAGACAGTCGTACATACGGCAATTTACGAAGCACGTGCGCGCGTGTGTGCCCGCACTGCAGGACAGCGGGGTTCCCGGGGGGACACCCACCCACCTCCATAATCATGTAGCCCGGGTGTGTATTGCCAGACGCGTCCCGCATCCCTGGGCCGTACGCCATCCGTACGACACAACCGCTGAGCGCGTCCCGCTCGAAAAAGGGCTGTGTGAACCACTCCTCCAGCTGGATGCGAGTTACCTGACACGTCAGCAGCTCCTCCAGGGTGGCCTCCTCGGGGGCCTTACCTCGTCAATAAGGACAGCCAACCAGGCGGGAAGGGGGGGAGAGAGCGGGGAGTAATCTACAAGAAACAACGGAAAGAAGGTGGAATTTAAGGAAGGGGAAAACGAAGCATGGGGGGAAGAGGAAGAGACGGGATGTGGGGGAAGGTTAGACCTGGGGTTTTTGTCGGGGGATGTGGGGAAAGGGATTTGGGGGGGAGGGATGGGGAAAAGGGAGGGGAGGGTAGGATGAACCATTGACAAATGAAGCAGAGAGACGGGGGGAAGGGGGAAAGGGAGGGTTTCGGATGGAGAAAGAGGAGCTTGCGCAGGGCGAGTAGGGGAGAGGGAGACGGCAGTGTCGTAGAAAAGGGCGTGGCAAATCCTGGGCTTTAGGAACTAAAACCCTAAAACCCTAGGCAGGATCGTGAGATTCTCCTCCATGCCTCCTGCCGCATGGAGAGGGAGAGAGGTGCAATGAGCCGATGATGGCCACGATATGCCCTTTCCCCCCGTCTTGCTCCTCAATGTCCGACCCCCAACTCTCGTCGCCTAGGAGGACATGACTTGCGCGCCACCAAAGTCGTCTTCGCTGGATCCAGATCCACGTAACTGTCACCAACTGCTCTCCCAACCGCCGCAACCAGCCAACACCCTTGGAAAATGAAGGTGTCCATTATGTATGTCAGCCCGACCTGCCTCGACCCCCCCCCTTCCCATTCTTACCTCCTCGTCATCGGAAAGGTGTCGCTCTCGCTCCCTCAGACGCTCTCGTTCTCGTTCCTTACTCCTCGCCGCCGCCGCCGCCGCGGCCTGCCGTCGACCATCCTCAGCAGGCTCACTACCCCATGTGCTGCCGCCGCCGACGGCGGGGACGCCGGCGGCGGCGCCAGCGCCGACAGCGGCGGCTCCGCCGCCGCCACCAAAACCCCCCGCACCGTCCATACCGCCGCCCCACCCCGCGGCCTGCGCAATCACCGTACGGCAATTCCCCGACACGATCAGGTACAGATGACAAAACACACTGACTACGATCAGCTTCGGCAACAACCCCATCTGAATTCCCCAACACGCCGTACGAAACACCCCAAACCAACCCCCAACCACCCGCCTTCAACCTTACAACTCCCCTCCTTGCATCCCCTCCCGAAAACATTACTACCGACTATAAACATCGACAGCAATCAAACATTCAACCGGTTAACAAACATTTACAACACGTCCCGGGGTTTCTGCCCTGGCCAGGATGCCCTTGCCATACTAACCTCCGTTTCATCTCCGCCCCAGCTCGATACCAGTCCCTGCTCGTGCTCCTCTCCTCCCCCCACCAGCAGCCTCCCTGCCTGCCCCTCCTCCTCGTCCGAGCTAGCGCCGGAGGATATGCTCCGACGAAACTGGGTAAAAGGAGGTAATTGAAAAATGGGCCCAGGGAGAAGGGGACTGAGCGTGCAGGGTGCAATAGTCAAGAGCAAGAGAGAAAGGAGGGGGAGTAGGAAACACCAAATTATTACGGCACCGATCCAAATGGAACTGAAAGGCGTCGCGTGAAAAAGACGGCTGTGGGGATTCACGGGCGGGGATGACGGATGTGTAGGACACGTGACGGTGGTTGAGGTGGGGTTGCTCCGTCTGTTGTCCTCTCTTGGACTGTGGGAATAATCGTCCGTGAGCAATCGCAATCCTCCCTCGTTTTCACAGTTCCAATCCCTGTATTTCCAGTGTCATTTTCCCCCTCCGCGCTCACCTCCTCCTCGTCTCCGGAAGATCCGGCGCCGCCCTCCGAATCCCTGTCGCTCCAGTCACGAGCACCCCGCAAGGCCCCGGCGCTTCTAGCCGATTTGCTGCGCGGAGTACCCTTCCCCCGGGTCCCATCCTGCTTGTCATGCTTCCGGCGGCCTTTGTCGGCCTGGGGGTTGAACAACACAACATGCTGGATTTGAATGGTTGAGTCGTAAGTTTGAGTTGCTGAGTTAGGCTTGGAAACGGAAGGCCAGAGGAATGGAGAGAACCGAACCCTCAAAGTTGACGTAGTCGCACCTTTTCTGTCGCCACGCGTTGCTGCTGCAGCAATTGTCGCCTCTGACGCTCCTTATCGCGCATCTCAGCACGCTCTGCCAGAATCATTTCGCGCTCCAGCTCAGTCATGCCCATGAGCTTACGACGATCCTCCTCGTTTTCATAAAGCCCCTCCTCGTCGTCGAAGTCACCATCATCATCGCCATCATCTTCGTCACTCTGAGGCTTCTTGCCCCGTTTGCTGCTGCTTCCTTTACTCGCTTTCTTTCGCCTGGGCGCCTCCTCCGAATCAGCATCACTATCGATGGCTCCATCTTCATCACTATCGGAGGCTTTCCTATTGCGCTTTGTCGATGAAGCCTTATTGCTTCCAGCACCGAGTGAGAAGAGAGCGTCGTCGAGGTCATCCGCCATGGCACAAGAAACAAGTCGATAGTTTGTAAGGCAAAATTCATGATGGTTCTGGTGAGAGTAGCTTATGGCTTAAGCAACTGTTCGACCGTACAACTACCGTCCCAGCGGTAAAGGACGAGTAATCCTGCAACAATATTCTGCTTCTGTAACCATTCGCATTCTGCTAAATCCGCTGTCCGCTGTAACAAATCGCATTCTGCTTCGCTTATCTTGCTTCGCTGGTCGCTTTCTGATCGCGCATTATGGTCGCATCTGCATAAAACAACGCAAAATGCTTAAAATGACAAAAACTTCATTAGCGCCCCGGCATTCCGCCTCGCGCTGCTAAAACGCGTCACGGAATCCGGTGTCGGAACTGCCATTTCAATCTAGTTGAATAAGTTGCCGTTACAATTACCTTCACAATAGGAATTCTTAGGTCCTTCTTCGGTGCCTCGCGGAACCCAACCACGTGACCTGACGCTACTTGGATCGCACCATGCGGCTACTAGGACACCGCGTAGAACAGCGCGGGTGGTGACACGTCAGCGCCGCGGCTACTAGGATAGTGGACACAGCGCGCCTGGCTACTGCACTAGTAGAACACCGCGGGTGGTGACACGTCAGCGCCGCGGCTACTAGGACAGTGGACACAGCGCGCCTGGCTACTGCACTAGTAGAACACCGCGGGTGGTGACACGTCAGCGCCGCGGCTACTAGGACAGTGGACACAGCGCGCCTGGCTACTGCACTAGTAGAACAGCGCGGGTGGTGACACGTCAGCGCCGCGGCTACTAGGACAGTGGACACAGCGCGCCTGGCTACTGCACTAGTAGAACACCGCGGGTGGTGACACGTCAGCGCCGCGGCTACTAGGACAGTGGACACAGCGCGCCTGGCTACTGCACTAGTAGAACACCGCGGGTGGTGACACGTCAGCGCCGCGGCTACTAGGACAGTGGACACAGCGCGCCTGGCTACTGCACTAGTAGAACACCGCGGGTGGTGACACGTCAGCGCCGCGGCTACTAGGACAGTGGACACAGCGCGCCTGGCTACTGCACTAGTAGAACACCGCGGGTGGTGACACGTCAGCGCCGCGGCTACTAGGACAGTGGACACAGCGCGCCTGGCTACTGCACTAGTAGAACACCGCGGGTGGTGACACGTCAGCGCCGCGGCTACTAGGACAGTGGACACAGCGCGCCTGGCTACTGCACTAGTAGAACACCGCGGGTGGTGACACGTCAGCGCCGCGGCTACTAGGACAGTGGACACAGCGCGCCTGGCTACTGCACTAGTAGAACACCGCGGGTGGTGACACGTCAGCGCCGCGGCTACTAGGACAGTGGACACAGCGCGCCTGGCTACTGCACTAGTAGAACACCGCGGGTGGTGACACGTCAGCGCCGCGGCTACTAGGACAGTGGACACAGCGCGCCTGGCTACTGCACTAGTAGAACACCGCGGGTGGTGACACGTCAGCGCCGCGGCTACTAGGACAGTGGACACAGCGCGCCTGGCTACTGCACTAGTAGAACACCGCGGGTGGTGACACGTCAGCGCCGCGGCTACTAGGACAGTGGACACAGCGCGCCTGGCTACTGCACTAGTAGAACACCGCGGGTGGTGACACGTCAGCGCCGCGGCTACTAGGACAGTGGACACAGCGCGCCTGGCTACTGCACTAGTAGAACACCGCGGGTGGTGACACGTCAGCGCCGCGGCTACTAGGATAGTGGACACAGCGCGCCTGGCTACTGCACTAGTAGAACACCGCGGGTGGTGACACGTCAGCACCACGGCTACTAGGACAGTGGACACAGCGCGCCTGGCTACTGCACTAGTAGAACACCGCGGGTGGTGACACGTCAGCGCCGCGGCTACTAGGACAGTGGACACAACGCGCCTGGCTACTGCACTAGTAGAACAGCGCGGGTGGTGATGCGTCAGCGCCGCGGCTACTAGGACAGTGCCACGGCTACTAGGACAGTGGACACAGCGCGCCTTGCTACTGCACTAGTAGAACAGCGCGGGTGGTGACACGTCAGCGCCGCGGCTACTAGGACAGTGGACACAGCGCGCCTGGCTACTGCACTAGTAGAACACCGCGGGTGGTGACACGTCAGCGCCGCGGCTACTAGGGACAGTGGATACAGCGCGCCTGGCTACTGCACTAGTAGAACACCGCGGGTGGTGACACGTCAGCGCCGCGGCTACTAGGACAGTGCCACGGCTACTAGGACAGTGGACACAGCGCGCCTGGCTACTGCACTAGTAGAACAGCGCGGGTGGTGACACGTCAGTGCCGCGGCTACTAGGACAGTGGACACAGTGCGCCTGGCTACTGCACTAGTAGAACAGCGCGGGTGGTGACACGTCAGCGCCGCGGCTACTAGGAGAGTGGACACAGCGCGCCTGGCTACTGCACTAGTAGAACACCGCGGGTGGTGACACGTCAGCACCGCGGCTACTAGGACAGTGGACACAGCGCGCCTGGCTACTGCACTAGTAGAACAGCGCGGGTGGTGACACGTCAGCGCCGCGGCTACTAGGACAGTGGACACAGCGCGCCTGGCTACTGCACTAGTAGAACAGTGCGGGTGGTGACACGTCAGCGCCGCGGCTACTAGGATAGTGGACACAGCGCGCCTGGCTACTGCACTAGTAGAACACCGCGGGTGGTGACACGTCAGCACCACGGCTACTAGGACAGTGGACACAGCGCGCCTGGCTACTGCACTAGTAGAACACCGCGGGTGGTGACACGTCAGCGCCGCGGCTACTAGGACAGTGGACACAGCGCGCCTGGCTACTGCACTAGTAGAACAGCGCGGGTGGTGACACGTCAGCGCCGCGGCTACTAGGACAGTGCCACGGCTACTACG